AAATTTCGGGCATTACAATTCGATTTTGGGGAAAAATACTTACTGTAATCTGAAGAGTAAAGAAGTGTGTCCTACAAAAAAAATATGTACCTAATTGTAGTACCATTTTTTTCCAATCTCCTTGATTTTTTAATCTGAAAACTAGGTACTTAAATCACAGTTTTCGAGCTGAAATTAATGTTTGGCCAGCTAATTAGCATGTGCTCAACTTCGAGGGGCTTCGCCGAACAGGTGCGGCTCCGATTGGGTCTGTTCATGTGGGCTGAGCGTGGATCCTCGAGGAGATAATCGAACTGGAGCCAAAATTAATTCCGCAGCTTGGACTACAAGAAGGGGAATTAATTAAAAACTCAGCCGCGAACGAGGGGGCACTTAATCAGCCCGCTGGGGAAACTTTCCGCTTGCTCTGTAAGTGCGAGCAAATTGATATTGAGCGTGGTAATTGCGGTTGTGGCATTGCGCCGATGATGATGGGCCGAATTGACAACTTGGACTTTGGAGCTCCCTCCCTGCATCCAGACTCTGGGAGTGGGAGCTGCAGACAGACAGGCTAGACGAGATCGGGCGGACTCGAGACCCAAGACTCGAGTCTCGAGTCTCCAGATTGAACCACGCAAGTGCTTTTTGGGAGCAAAGTCCACTTACGAGTCATGTGTGCCAGTCGTGTGAACCGAATTCGAATTTTATCGAATCGTCTCTCACTCAATTCACTCAATCATCTGGGCTGCAGTAAAGAGCAATTAACTCGAATTGCCAAGGCGACCACGCATGCAGCTCGTGTCCGCCGGAATTTCGACCGCGATGCTGATGACAAAGGCCAACCCATGACGTATTTCGCACCATCCATTTATAATAGATGACGCCTTTCTTCCTTTTCACCAGTATTTTGTGCGGGGGACCCGATCTAAAATTAGCAACCATGAATAGCGTTTTATGTCCACTTATTTTGGGATTGATGTGGTCAGTTTCAGTGGGCCAAAGAGACACTCGAGCCATTCGGTACCACTTGCCGTGAATTGGTGGAAAATGTGATAATGAATTGTGTCAACGGGTTGATCAATTAACTTTGTCTATCTGGGCGTCAAGACCGAGTATAAAACTCATATAGAACATGACGAAACTGTCTGGGCTGTCTCTGAATTTACAAAAGCAAAGACTCTTCTGATTGAAAAGTTTGTACACAATTTATTCACATATATATGTTTTATTTTTTTTAATAAAATAAAGATATTTATTATTAAGTTTTGATAGATTCTTCTGATTGAAAAGTTTGTACATAATCATTTTATCAGTATATTTTGATATTAGTTTAATCAACTAAGTAATTGGTAGACATAAGCTTATAAAGTGAAGAGCATCTGACCTTTGTCTTCCATGTTTCTGATCTTAAAAGTATCATTTACCAACGCTATCAATGTGATTCACTTTTTAAGGTGGTGAAGACAAAGTCTAAGCGTGGTGGAGTTATCAGTTGTCGAATGAAGATTAACAAATGCTAAGAACTTTCAAAAGCTGGAGAGTGCACTTCTCGATTATAATTTGTTGATAAGAAGAAATCTACTAACACAGTGCCAAAAAGCAAATATGCAAAGCTCATAAAACTAATAGCCCAAATTAGGGGCACGTGTAGCCTTGCCATAACCTCGACCACGAAAAATATTGATACGAAGTGAAGCGGCTGAACAACATAGGAAAAAACCAAACATCAGATGACTGAGTGAATTTAATCTGGCGATGCAGGTGTTTAAATCTTGTCTTAAAGCAGAAAGAACTATTGCTTCATGCTAAATGTTTTTATCACCCAATTCAAATCGATTGGCTTTAATGACACATCAACCCCAATAATGCAATTGCCCCACGGCTAAATGAAAGCGAGCGCGTGCCGCACTCGTTATCTCCGCGGGAAGCAAGTTCAAGTGCCCACTGACCACATTAGTGGCTATTCGGTTTCCCCCCATCAGCCACTGAGATGACCACCAGCCAGTGGCGATAAGGGATAAGTGCGTGAGCGAGTGCGTGTTTACATTCCGCTCCGCGGTTCCCTCCAATCCAATCCCACACAATCATCAATCACAACAACCGATCGCGATCTGCGGCTGTGATTTGATTTGAGCCCGAGGACCGGCCGTTTAATTAAATTCTTAGCGCAATTACTGATTTCCGTGCGAGGGTTCCCAAGATAAACGATATGGGAAATCACGTTCCATGGGTGTGATTGCGGCGTGAAGGTGAACACTATCCAATATCGTGATTTATGTACCCGGTCGTAAAGGATTGCCAATGAGTCAATCACCAAAGATTAGTTCTACAGTTTATCGGAATTAGCTTCGGAGCGGACCAGGTTGTGTTATATTAAACTTTAAATTTATTACTTTTAACTTAATAGGAATTTTATAAGCTTTACAAAAAAAAAATTACATTCTTTCACTCCACCCGGGAGCGTAGAGCCTCTGCAATTTTTGTAGAGGATTCATTTATCTTTTGGTTTTTCGTTCGTACTGGTGATTAGCCAGTAGCGACTTATCCTAGCGGTGGGGTTGCCACCTGGCGCCATCTAGGAGTGAGGAAAGTTCTATTGTTGTGTCCATAGTAACGTGGACGAGGGGGGTGTGCGGGTCCGGGGAGCGGAAATTTGCTACTATTGTTAAGTGAGTGATAGAACATAGAAGTGGAGGAGATTTGAAAAATGAGACCGTTTCTTTTTCTCGGGGAGCCTGGGATTCGAACCCGGGCCTTCCGGATCGGAGGCCAACGCTCTACCTTTATAATAAGATTTATAATAAGATTAAAATATATTTTTTGAGAGCCTTGTTTCATAAATTTTTGATACGGACACTGATTAAAACGATTATTTTTGGAAAAACCCAAGAGTTTATTATCTAAATATATTTAAAGGGTTACTCTTTAATTGAAATCCCAAATTAAATTTTGGAAACAAATTGTTTTTATTTAAGAGTATAAGAAAGTCATTGGTAAAACTTTGGCTATAGCGAAAAAGCTAAAACTAAAAATGTTTATAAACCATGCCAGCCCAAAAGTAGGCCCCGCCTTTATGTAGCAAAAATACTAACTATTCTTTTTACAAAATTGACTTCGACATTAATAACTTAATTTTGCGGTTGGTAAAGGATACACTGTCGCCATCTGCACGACCACCACTCATACCAAATGGTAGCTTTAGGGTGTGCTAACGTATAGTAAAAGCACGCAAGAAAACTTTTCTGTACAAAATTGTATCCTTCAGCTTATCTACCCCAACGCACTTTAGGAATGTCCTTGCTAGCAACTTTGTGTGTCATTGAGATACTTCCGTTCCAATGCGCATGCGCCCGAATGCATCCTGCGAACAGGTTTCGAGTGAGCTTTCAACATTTCATGTGGTTTCAAGACAGATGTTTACCTTCTTGAGAGGAAAGAAGAGAGAGAACTTTTGAAAATATTGAAATCGGTTTCGAACGCAACGTGATTTTTTTGATAAATTTGGTTTCGATTTGAGCATAAGTAAATAAAATAAATACAACATTTTTAAAATATATTTATTTTAACTGAAACAAGTTTTTTAAACTTTTATGCATATATGGTTTTAAATCTTTCTTCACATTTGTAAATTATATTTTTTAATAAATTTTTAGCATAAAATAATTTTTTTAAAAATCCTAATAGGTCCCTTTATTGAAGTATATTTTATTTATCTACAGATTACAGAATCGTAAGGGATGTGTTGGGTCCAGCTGGCCCAGAACCTTTTCCTCCGAGGTCTCCGCTGGCCAAAAGCTCATGACAGCGGACCAAGCCCCGCTCACCCGCTGGCCAAGAAGCCAAAATCGATGCCCCAACCGGTTCGCTCTCGCTTTTGGCGAGTGGCCCAAGCTTTTCCTCGCTGCTCCTGGAGCGTGTGGGCCAAAACGCGAATGAACATCGACCGTGGAAGTTGACTGCTGAAGTACAAAGCGCTAGGCTGAAGGTGAATGGATAAGAAAAATTCTAGAGCCCACACAAAGTTGCAAAATCAACGGGAAATATCTGGAAGAAATTGCCCAATAATAAACGAAAAATAAGCAAATATTTGGTTAAAAACAGGGCAAGGTGACGAAAGTGTTCTGCTATTTGTTATATAAATGAAAACGCCATCGAAAGCCCCGAAAAGTGTTGTGCGCGTGTGTATGTGAGTGGGTGCGTGTGTGCCACTGTGTGTGTGTGTGTGTGAGTGTTTAGCACGCGCTTACGAAAAGGAGAACATTTTTTGTGTATCAGAATTTTTCGCAGCAAATGTGAAGAAAAATGGCAGCTACGCAAGAAAATCTAAATTGAAAATTCCAGTGTGCAAAGCAAAAACGAAAGAAGCGCAGAAAAATGGGCTATCATTGAAAGTGAAAACGCATGTGAGCCACTTGCGAGGATATTGATTTTTCCACACCACTATTGTGGTGGTGTGGGCCAGTCGAACGCCAGTCGAAATGAATACACGCAAAATGTGATTTTCAAAACGAGAAAAGGTCCCGCGGACCGTATAATTAAATAATAGATAAATTAACTGTTCCAAATGAGTTTCCCCCATCAGTTTTAAGTGTCTGAGTGCGAGAGGGAGAGAAAAGCTCAATAGAAGCAAAAAGAGGCAGGCCTAAAGACAAAAAACAGGACGAAGAAATGGCCCTAAGAAAATCTCTATCCTGAATTTGCTTTCTTCGAGGGAAAAGCGAATTTGCCAACCTCCCACTCTCTCTCTCTCTCTTTCTCTCTCTCTGCGCACACAAGCACACGCACACACACAAAGCAAGGAGACACCACACACAGTCGCACACAAAGCCAAATTCGCTCTATCAATATTTACGCATACCATTGTATTTTGATATTACGTATACGCTGCGTGTCTCACCCACTCTCTCACTCTCTTTCTGTATTTCTCTCCCCCTCTCTCTCTCCGTTCGCGCCTTGCCTGCTACATAAAATATTTAAACAAATTAAATTCCATAAAATTGCATTAATTATCAAAAACAAAGTATACGAAATTCATGTGAGACCAGCGAGCCGCGGCCTCACTAGCCAAAGCCAGCCACCAGAAAAAAAGAAGGCAGCAGCAGGAGCAGCACACACACACACACATCGACCAGCGCCAGGACCCACATCATCATCCTTCCTGCCAGGCCGTCGCCACTGCTGCCGCCCCTCCGCTCCCCCCGCTGGAGTCGCGCCTCGCTAAACGCTGCTCAAAACCCATCATCTAACTAATAAAGCGGACGATAAACAAGCACGTTAAGCACCGAAGAAGGCGAAGCCGAGCTATTAGCGATAGTCAGGGTTCTCGATTGTGGATTGGAGAAAAAATTGGCAACATTTCTGATTAGGAGGTGAGTAGTTGTAACTGTAAAAAAAACATAGCACACTTTTTGGGGCAATGAAAAATATGGGATCCTTGAAATATTTATATCTGTAAATTCTGTAAAGCCTTTAAAGAAATTTTTAAAAAGGCTAAAAATTCGAAATATAACAAATTTAAACTAAAACTAATTAGTTAGTTATTCTGAAACTAATGCAGTTAACTTTACCAATAAAAACTTCGCAACGCTTTTGTTTCCCATTTGATCCCAAAGCTCAGGACATAGCTTATGTTAATTAAGTTATTTACTGCCAGACTGTCGAATCCGCTCCACAATCACACATATCATTAATTCATGGGGCGCCTCTTATCCTTCTCTAATAAGAGATAAACTTGATTTAGTCTTCTCGTTGCTAATTAGCTCTGGACAGCCAGAAACTGGCAGGGAATTCCTGGGGGGCGGGCTATTAAGGGCCTTGCCGAAACCTCGCAATAAAAATGCCGTAGACAAGCTCGGGAAACCGCACATAATTGCCAATAATCAAGTTGGCCCGAACAGCCGCGTACTTTTGACCCTTTACGCCCAAAACCGAACGGATACTTTGTGAAATACGAGAATATGAATGGAACTTTCGGATGGTTTAAGTTTTGATTTTGAAAAGACGGCGACGATTGTTCAATGAAAGCGAAAAGCATAATGATGTGGAAAATTGGTTTTTCTCCTCGGGCATTATTCTTCGCTCCTCAGGCAGTGTCTCCTCTGTTCGAACGTCTAGCTTGGTTTTCCCTTTACGTCCATTACTTTTTCCGTTCCGTTCGCTTGCCATTTTCCCGAGTTTTTATTTTGTTGCCTTCTCTGGGTTATGTGCGCAGTAGAAGGAGCAGCAGCGAGAGAGAACCGTGGGCATATGTGGCTTTTCCGCTTTTTCCGCTTTTCCGCTCCCAGAGCTCTCTGCTTCCATTTTCCACTCTCCGGCTCGGCGGAAAAGTTTACCCGTTTGCCGTTTCGCTCGGGAGCTTCGAGGGCCTCCTTCCGATTCTTTCGATTCGCCCGTATTACGTGCGTGGGTTCCACAGATGTTGCCACAGATCCAAAACCCGACTCCCAACTCCCGACTCCTGAGTATTGAGTATCGAATCCCTTTTTGCGGAGCAGCTCGACGGTGTTTTTGTTTGGACCCGGTAATGGATAATGGCTGCCTGTCCATCCATTCCTGGCCGATGTTAATTTGTTTTGACAGCTTGATTGTCAGCTCGGCAGGTCCCGCCTTTCCCCGTGTTTTTTCCACTGCTCCCCATCCACTGAATGTTTGATGAGGCCAAATTATCTTATCATTATGTGAATTTACTCCTAATCTGGAACCACAGCCAATTGTTGATATTTGCGCTGGCTCTTGTGGCACTGCAATGCACCGCTATCAGATTTCTGCACCACCGCCCGCAATCTGTGGCAGCAGACAGCGGTCTATTTATAGCCCATCGCCAAAGGTCAGAACGTAGGAATTATTACCAGGAAAGCGCACATATTGCCCGTGATTAGAGCTGCAAAGTGAGCTTTGAATTATTTAGTGGGGTCTAGGACACCGGAGTGATTTTCTAATGAGCCACTTTATTACAACACAAGTGTGTGACAATAGAATATTTAAGTTGGTGCCTATTTATAGGTATATGTTTTTAACATTTGCTAGTACATTTTCTTATAATTATTTGGGGGGATATACAGGATATTCTAAACCATTCTTTAGTGTTTTGAACCGTGAAGAACCAAGAACAACCTTTTCTGTTATTCTTTTTCATATTATTGTCAAAGCAAAGTGACTTAACTTAAGTTCTACTTAATTCCTCACCCTAAACAGCACTTACCTCATAACTCCTGGGTTATAAACTTCAAATAGCTATTAAGGAAGGCCTTCTGACAGTTACTGGAAATGTTTTCCCATCAATCGGACCCTCAACAATGAACTCACTGACCATTCGAGCGCTTTGCAACTACCAGCAATAACAGACATGGGAAACAGCTGGTCCGGCTCTAAATATAATTCCGATTTTGCTCGAAGAACACGAAGAGTAGTTCGAACTGCGTAGTTTGTTATTTCGCTGCCACTTTTTCGGGCCCAGACAAGTGGGCACCGCAAGTCACCAACACAACCATACGCCCCGTTGACCCGTGTGCAAAATGAGTGGCACGAAAAGCTGGCAGGATGACAAAATTGCGGCAACTGCCGCATACAATATTCGTGACCTTCTTATGCTTCCCTGGAACTCAGAACTCGGAACTCGTAGTTGCACATCTTGGTCCCATTAACGTGAAGGCTTTTCTGTTCAGGTACTTTTGCGCTTATGCCAAGGAACATAATTCAGCCCAGGATTTTTGGTGCATTAATAAAATATGACCGACAAAGTGCTTTGGCTCCGGGTCGATTGCCATTTTCCGGGTAACTTTCTCCTGGAAGTGTTTCTGATTGTTGCGTGCCCATTTATTATGGATGAGGTTGCCGGTGTTTGTTCATTTTATTTATCCGCCACAGGGCTGCAACGCAATTTGTCAGGGGATCAGTCGGGAATCGTGACACTTTCAAGCTCCCCATTTTTTTGCTGCCACATCGCTCTTTTTTCTCTCCTTCTGCTTATGAAGTCATTTTCAGGCAGCCTCTCTACGGCAAAACTTGTCCTAGATGCATTTTAAGTTATTGATTAGTTGCCAGTTCATTCGCTGGCCCCAAAAGGCTGTGAACTAAGAAATCTGCTGGGCTTTAAAACCCGTGCAACCTTATTTCTTAAGTAACATTTTGTTCAAAGGGTAAATAATATAAATAAATAAATTGAGTTAAAAACTATTGCTGAGTCAGTGCAAATGTTATCTTGGTTTTTGAATTTCGAATTTATATGTACCTAATTTGTGTACTGTGAGATTAATTACTTTAGGAGGCATTTATATATTCAAGATAAGCTCAATGCAGAAAGCAATAGCAAGAAAAAAAAGGGCAAAGCATTTTGGCGATAGGAATTTGTTCACTCACAATCAGTATTTCTCAAATAAAGTCAGTCGTTGCAATTAATTGCTATAAAATAGACGTAAAATAATAATCTCTCTTCAACACAACCAGAACATTGTTTTGGGCTCAATAGAGCCTCAACCATAAGCACATTCAATTAGTTTATTGATTTATAAGTATTTTATTTTGTGGGCTTAAAATGCATTAAAGCGGAGTTTCTGGTAAGAGCTCCCCAAAAATTATATACAAATTATGGCCGCCTGAAGGGAAAACAAGTCGCACAACTTAATTTCGCACATTTTCCATGCAAATTCTATTTGCGTCCCCGCCCACAAAAAAAAAAGTTCTCACAGGGCAAACACAGAGTTTGCATTTAAATTTTCTACGCGCTCGGCATCCACAGCATTTGAATTTTAAGCATATTTATGAAGCCGAATAAACAAAGCTGCCTCCAGGCTTTTCATTTAAGCAGCTCTCCGAGTTTTTCCACGCCCGTTTGTCACTGTGTGTGCTTGTGTGTGTGTGTGTACGTGTGCCAGGGTATAGATGTCCTTTGACGTCATTTGCTAAGTAAACAAGTGCCGGGCCACAGAAGAAGCAGCAATTTCAAGTCACTTTGGCTCTAAATTGCTCTTACACCATTTCATTCCCTTTATTTTACGGCTAAGAGGTTGAGTGGTTCTGTGGCGTTATAATTTATCTTTCGCTCTGGCCTTATGAAAAATAATGAAATGCAGGAAACAAGAGGTGAAAATAATGTGCCAACAAGCTTTGCGGAATATAAGAAGTATTTGCTAAATAAATTACTAGTTTAACTAATTATTAGCTTTAATTTTGGTTAAGGAAAGCCTTAGGGGCCGGAAAATACTCCTCTTTTAAAGTACGAAATCTGGCAAATGAAAATATTTCTTTTAATATTTCTTTCGACTGACACGTGTCACTCAACTTTTGATGGATTATCCCAATAGCAATTTCGAGCAGAGATCCGTGGGCCACTTCCGGAGAAAGACAGCTTATTGTCAATCAGCGAGGTTTAAGTGCTCGCATGTATCCCATGTATCCAGTTGGGGGAAGCCCCCGAAGTCCCGGGAGTCCGTCGCCGCAACAATGGGAGGTCAGGGTCAAAGGATGTCTGACAATAGCAACCGAGGAGCTGAGGACCCAACTCAGCGGTCTCCCCTCGTCCATAATTAATGCCGCTCAAGTTGTTAAAGTAAATGAAACGAAGTAAAATATGGAAAGATTCAAGCCGAGCGAGTAGACAAGGCAGATGGAGAACAGAGCCAGCAGCTCGGTGTTAATATTAATGAATTCAATTAGGGGAGAAGAGGGTAAAATGAGAAGAAACAGAACAAAGTCGGAACGGGGGATCCCAGCCGCCCAAAGCCGTTTGTGTGGGTGCCATTGTGGAATAAAAAATGTGGGGACTTCGGGGGGTTTTCGGGGAGAGAGTGCGTGCCCTTGGCTGACTAAGGATAAGCACTTTTCCTCTGTGCGTTTGCCACCACCGAACCGCCCCACTGCTCGTTTTAGTTGACGCCGTCAGCGCATTTCTAGTGTTTCAAGGATGCGAGCGTAGGAAAAGTTGCTAACGACTTTTGTGGGACTTCTTTGTGGCTACACTCTCGTTTCGCGCTATTTTTAAAACGGCAACAGCCTGGAAATTAACCGCACACATGGCAAACATTTGCTCAAGTAGAGAGCGTACATATGGATCATTAGACTAAAGGACAACTAAGCAGTTATTTTATATGCAATCTATCTGTATTTTTCAGCAACAACACAACACCACAAAATGCCGCCAAATGCAAAATCGGAAGCGGACGCCAAACCGGAAGCGGAACCAGCGCCAGCGTCCGAACCGGCAGCGGAACTGGAGTCCGTGGACCAAAAGCTGCAGGAAACACATCACTCCAAATTCCGTGAGGTGGACAGGCAGGAGCAGGAGGTCCTCGCCGAGAAGGCGGCGGAGGCGGCCAGTCAAAGAATCGCACAGGTGGAATCGACAACACGGAGTGCAACAACAGAGGCTCAGGGTGAGTTTACACCAAGAAAACTTTTAAAGAAATCTCTAGGCTTAACCTAAAAAGATTTTAAACCTTAAGAGATTTCTTTGGCATTCCAGTTATTATTATAAAACATTTAAAACAACTAATCTTCTTAACTACAAATTCTTTCTTTAGTTGTACAGAATATTTCTTTACCTTTATTTGTGATAATGTGATTATGAAGCACTTAATCCTTCATCCGAATTATCCTGTAACATTTTTAATCAATGTCGGAATTTCAGAATCCACTACCACCTCATTGCCGGTGATCAAAAAGATCGAGCACGTCGGCGAAGTGGTCACCGAGGTGATCGCCGAGCGCACGGGGCTGCCAACATGGGGCGTGGTGGCCATCATCATTCTCGTGTTCCTCGTCGTCTTTGGTATAATCTTCTTCTGTGTGCGGAGGTTCCTGAAGAAGCGAAGAACCAAAGATGGTAAGGGTAAGAAGGGTGTCGACATGAAGTCGGTACAGTTGTTGGGATCGGCGTACAAGGAGAAAGTAAGTGTCTGACGCGCCATCAAATCTTAGTAGTTATTGGGTTCTGGTATGTCATAGGTTCAGCCTGATATGGAGGAACTCACCGAAAATGCCGAGGAGGGTGACGAGGAGGACAAGCAGAGCGAGCAGAAGCTGGGGCGCCTCAATTTCAAGGTGGGTTTCCCCAATCTCCAGTCCCCCTTCCAGATTTTCCCCCGATCTAAACTAACCACCCGAATACGAAACTAACCAAACGTAAACTCAGATAGGTGTTCTATAAATGTGGTTGATGACGTGGCGAACACATTCACAGAAAGGACAATAAATACTCCAATAAATCTTGTAACTTTTCCCTCAAGGTTTCACTTACACTGAACAACATAACATTCAACCGAAATTTCGTTTTCACTCAATAGTATTTTTCACTTGCAAGATTAGAAAACTAAATTACGTTATTACTAAATCTTATTATCAGCTTCTTGAAAATCGGTTTCTAAAAAGTCTTGATGTAGAAAGCAATTAATTTAAAAACAAGAAAAACATGCCTTATTTAGAACTAACCACCACATTAACATTTAAAACTTGTAATATCAACTTGACTAATATATAATTTTCCTTTGTCTCTCCTTTGGCCAAAAACCAAATCCCCTGTTGGTGCGACCTTTCGAATCTCTCTCTTGCAGCTGGAATACGACTTCAACTCAAATAGTTTGGCTGTGACGGTTATCCAGGCTGAGGAGCTGCCCGCCCTGGACATGGGCGGTACTTCGGATCCCTATGTCAAGGTGTACTTGCTGCCCGACAAGAAAAAGAAGTTCGAGACCAAAGTGCACCGAAAGACTCTGAGTCCGGTCTTCAACGAAACGTTTACCTTCAAGGTAAGATTGCGAATCATTCTGAAGATCTTAAATCGCTTTAAGAGGCACCTGAAAGTATGCAATAGAAAGTTTTACCGGTTTTGCGTAATGTCTAAGGCACTTGAAAGTATGCAATAGAAAGTTTTAACGGTTTTTCCTAATGCCTAAGGAGTTTTGAGAATTTAAAATTATTTTTTGAAACTATTTCCTTAATATCTGTTCTCTACTGCAGAGTTTACCCTATGCCGATGCCATGAACAAGACGCTCGTGTTTGCCATCTTCGACTTCGATCGCTTCTCGAAGCACGACCAGATCGGCGAGGTGAAGGTGCCGCTGTGCACCATCGACCTGGCGCAGACGATCGAGGAGTGGCGCGATTTGGTCAGCGTCGAGGGGGAGGGCGGACAGGTATGTAGAGCTGGGCCGGGGTCCGAATCGGGGTCACCAGTACTAGCCAAGCTATCCGTAACTCTCTCTCTGTCTATGTGTACAACTCGATGTGCCTCTAAGTGTTTTTTATCCAACTCAAGAACATCAGTTGAGCTCTGCTCTGCTCTGCTCTGTCTTTCGTAACTTTGATTTGATTTATTGGTTTCTTGCGTTCGTTAACGTTACTTCCAACTCTGAGTTGTCGAGCCGAAGGCAAACCAACACTGAAATCGTGTGATATACGTATTTGTTGACTTCTGTACTCTCCGACACCTACTTACTCGTACTTATGATGATGATTGTGTTTTGTGTGTATTTTGCATTCGAACTTCAGCCACGACCAAAAATGAAAATACAGCAGAAAGCAATCAAAGCATTTGTGTGACACCCACTCGATATTTGTTTTTAAGTCAACGATCCAACCCCCCAGCCCCCTTCGAAATACTCTTAAGGGCAGGGACCAAAGACAATTACAGTAAAAACTTCCAAAAAACAGAAACAATATCAACAAAACAATGAAAACTTCGTGGAACAGACAAGCAAAAGTTTTTCGAGTCTCTAACGAAACTTTTACACACCCAGTTCAAAATGCAAATATAAATAAATAACAGAAATTATCTTACCATTTAATAAGTAATAAATACTCAACAAGAAAACCAACAGCAAACAATCGGGGGGAAAAGCAAACGGAAAAGCGCCTTTGCTTTTCCCCCACACTCTCCGACAGTTTTTAATTTTCCTTGAACCCACAAACAACTACTACAAAGAAAATAAAACTCTAAATTTCTCTTTCTCCAATTCCCCCTCTGAAACAAACCAAAAATTGATTTCGAAACATATAAACTCTTGTTTTCTTGAACTTTTGTAGAAGGTAAATACCAAACATGCTTTAAATTCTTACGTAAACCAAAAACCAAAACAACGAGAACTCTTTAACACCTTTGCATACACGATTTGAGTTTATGATTTTCCCTCTATACTCGTATAACCTGCTCTGTCTCTGTGAACTGTCGCTCTTGTACACAAAAGCCTATAACGTCTATAACGATTTATTAACCATTGCATCGAACCACTAACTAATCTAACCCACTAATTCTTCAAAACTTTTCCCCCTCGATTGTCAATCAGTTTGGTCTTGAGCGATTGTTCTTTGACTTTTTCTCTGTCTCTTTCTATATATTCATATATATATACCCGATATACTGTTATGTCTGCATTCTTTCTCGCATCATTAATATTGTAGTTGAATTTTTGTATTAATATAAACGATTTATCTACTACTATATATGTTTGGGCTGTCTTGTTTGCAACCGTGTAATAAAAATGACAAATGTTCTCACATTTCCATATGCAAATGATCACACTGCAATATTAATTTGTTGAGAAAACCTGTGGCATAAGAAAGGCTAAGTAAATCAGCATGGCTAACTGACTTTCCCACCCGTAATCTACTTCAATGGTAGCCTCTTCCATTTCCCCACACTTTATTGCCCGCCGTTCGGGCCAAGAACTCCTTCGCCATTTCTGATTTAATGGCCATGCTGATCTAACTATTTAGTTGCTGAATCTCTTTTTCCCCCCGAACAACACTATTCACATGATTTTCGTTTGCACTTTGATTGGAACAATTAAGCGTCGAAAATACTGAAAACTTTTGCATAACTTTCTTACAGTAGTTCTCAACTTTTGCACCCCAAGTTATTTGCATAACGTCTGTCAAACTTTTTCTCATACACAAACACTCGCTCTCTCCTCCTGTGTAATACTCACACACACACACACAGAGAACCGCACAAAAGAAATTCTTTGGAATAACAAATAATGAGCTATATAAATAAATTAAAAGCGTTGTAAAATATTTGCATTGATTACATTGAATTGGTCAAATGATGGAATGAATGCTCTGAAAACATCAAACACAAACACACAAAGAAACACACAAAATCCATGTACAAATACAAATACGATACACAATTCAACAAGCACACACACACAGACAAAAGAAACACAATTTCAGAAATGGAAAAAGCTTTAATTTTTCGCCTGTGAATGCCAAAAAAGTGGAATTGTCTGAACAAAATTATTTCAGATAGCCGAAAGATTGCAGGATTTCATAATAATAAATTAATACCTTTAAAAATTATGAAAGCTGTAAAAATGTTTTTTATTAATTGGTTATAAAAAATTAAAAACGAACTCCTGCAAGATTTTAATACTGTGCATTTACTTCTGTGCCATGAAAAGTGGCATTCGCTGCAAGGCCAAACACACAAATATTGTAACTTTTCTTAATATGAACATTACTTACAAATAGTTTAGAAACACTGCAATATACCATTTTTTAACAATTTTTACTCTACTGCATGCCTTTCCCTTTGCTTACGACTTTATACTAATATATAAACCACACTAAGTATTAGAAAGCAACACATTTACATTGAACACGGACACACGACCATTAATTGGTTACAAAACAATACGAAAACCTTTTTGAAATTTGCCAAAAACAACATTGATACTTATCGAAATTCTACTGGATATGGAATTCAATAATTTTTAATACGATCTTCATTTTTCTCTTTAATTATTTTTGAACGTATCGCTAAAAAACAAAAAAAAAAAAAAACCAAAAACCAATCAAAATCTGTAATCACAAAATTCGAAAACTCGAAATTTCCAAACTGTACTCGAAATTTTTGACTCATGCCATGGGGAAATCAATCTGAAACCTGAAACATGCCAAAATGAATCCATGTAAGTATACGATCAAAGGAAAGGAGATTCATATTATCGTTATTTGCTTTGGTTGTTGTCGTCATAAATGTGTTCAAAGTTATGTTCGTTGTGTTTGTGTTACGATTCTGTTCGACCTGCAAAAGTAAAATGTATCCAAATCCAAATCAAGAGCCAAACCAAACTAAACCATTGGACCAGTCGAAGAACAAAATAATTAATAAATACGAAACGCTTTTTGAGCCTTTATATTTTGTGTTTAGCTCTCTGTCGCTGTCTCGCCCGATGTGTGTATACTGTACTTATGTTTTGATTTGCATAACTTGAGTGTGTACTGTAATGTGTAAGCAGAGCTTCGATGACAGTCAAATACAAAAAACAAATCTCAATAATCTTGTTTTCCGATTTCAATTATCTGTTCGTTTACCTTTCTTTCGGTTACGATTATAGACATTTTTGTTTCCATGAGACATTCACCAAACATTTAACAACGAATATTTTCGAAAGGCACCCAAAACCAAATGATAACCGATCTCGAATCGAATCGAATCGAATTCAGAGTATCGAAATAATTAAATCCCTATCAAGTTGCGGTAAGTGACTCCGATATAAAACTATGAATTCTCTATAAAGCTCGCTCGCTCTCTGTCTGTCTCGCTCGCTCGCTCTCTGTCTCTGTCTTGAAACTTTTTTAACTAATCCAAATAACACACAACCACATTATCTTTAGCTAACCAATTATAGTTCAACAGATTCAGTTTTGTTTGCCCGGGCTAGTTTGGCCCTTGGAGAATCGCTCGAGGAATTGGCATCGGATTGGTTTGTGTGAAGATAAAAAAAAAAAAAAAGAAAAACAAGAAAAAGTAACTGCAAGCGGTTCGAACCAGCCTAGGGTCCTTTAAGTGTTATAAATAATAGCAATACCGAGTATCTAGATAGTTTTTCATTTGTAAGATATACGCTCTTTAAAACCTTATCATGTACATACGAAATCAAATTCTCTACTTCTCTGTATAAGAACATTTTTAACATTTATTCATTTAAAACCGCCTTCGGGTGAATAAGGAGCTCCAAAACTAGTCTCTACTGTACATAAAATCGGTTCAACTCTGCTTGATTTCCACTTCTTGAACTCTGTCTCTACCTTCTTCTATTCTCAATAGTTCCTAAGAATATTTTTGAAAACCAACTTATTTTTGCATTTTGGGCAGTCGGTTTTGAGCTGGGTGTTACTAAAAATCGAAGACAAAAATCAACAAATCGAAACAATAGAATATAACTCGAACAAGAATCTGTAAGTTTTGGTATGGTACAAAATAGTAAACGGAAAAACACAAGACCCCAAAACCAACTAATAACACTTGAACAAAATCAACTATTTAACTCTTGATTTAATACTTTGCCTTGGTTCCTTCAGTTTTTCTTTGGATGTACTCTTCTCTTTGATATACATATATATATGTAGGTATATACTTACACTTACCAACAAAATCGAAGCTCTAAGACGTGCAGTAAATGTTTTAATGTACTTTTTTGTGGCGTTTTCGTTTTGTGTCAATAAATAAAGAACTAAAGTTGATGTAATAATGGCTTAAAATACTGTACTGTTTCCCCACAATCAAAAACCCTTTAAACTTGAACTTGTACCGAGTGTATTTGGTTTCTCCTAATTTCCCAGTGTATAATCTATCTTAATGTTTATGCTGATATCCATCCTTGGTTTTTATATATACTTGTTACTGTGCAACTATATACCTTAGTTCGTCGTTTTTTTGACCAGAAACTAATTTTGGTTGCCCAATGTCGTCGAAATGATTCTAATTAACAGCCTTTCTCAGAAGCTAAGAGGCTGTTTATGTTAACCTTATCTTGATAGATATATTTCTAAAGCCCCATTTTTGCATACCAAGAACGGGCTGGTTACTTTTTTTCGTCTAATTTGTATCTATGGCTATAAAGTTTAAACAATGTCAATAAAAACTCGTTGTAACTGCTACATTAAATTAACTGGTAATTAATTAAATAGCTTTTTTTTGGCGTTAGAACGATTTATAATATTGAATATGATTTAAATAATTTCACAATAAAGTCATAATTGAGCCAAGTTGAGAAAACTTCCTCGCAGCACTCAATATGAATATTTATCCTTACTCAGGCGACCCCTCTTGATATAGAAACTATATATGACTATAAACCCCTATATATTTTAAATGGATATGTATGTAAATGTACCAATAGAGTCTGTGTGACATGTTGTTTGATGCAAATCCAAATGGGAGCTGAACAAACCTCACTCATCCTCTCGTAATCTCTTCTCCGGATCTCGTCAAACAGGAAAAGCTGGGAGACATCTGCTTCTCGCTGCGATACGTGCCGACTGCCGGAAAGCTGACCGTCGTTATCCTGGAGGCCAAGAACCTGAAGAAGATGGACGTGGGCGGACTGTCTGGTAATGTGGCGTTATACCGAAGCGCCGGCGGGATCGATCGGGGTTCCGAGAAGATTTTGTTGGGCCCTTCGACAATCCCGCCGGCGACTTTGTTGCTTTCTGTGTTTGTAATTTTAGCTAAGTGTGTGACGTACGTTGTTCGTTTTGTTTTCCGTTTAATGGCATACTCTTTATTTGATTTACTGAGGCGGAGCAAACGCCAAGGCAACGTTTGCTGTGTAAAAAAAATAACATCGAAACATAAGAGAGCAAAGAAACATAACTTTTATTCCAACTACTCGTACTTTTTGCCAACTACTTTTCAACTTCAACTATCAATTAGCGCCAACTTATCAATTTGCATACTTTACCGTACTTAACCCGAATCGCGTACGCTACTATTTTCAATAAATTCATTAATCAGCGGATATATTTACTGGCCGGCAGCGTTTCCATCCCGAAATATTCGCACAGTTTTTACTTATGCCTGGCCAAACCAAACCAATAGAAACCCAAATCAACTTTAAACTCTATGCCAAACAAAACAATCAATCGACCGAAAATCGCTTGCTTAGCTTCACTTTTGCATGTAATCTGTACCATTTTTATTGTATCTTAACACTCGACATAATTTCGGGTCGCTGATGCCAGACGAAATGTTTAAAACGTTGCCGCCGAATATATCCAAAACAATTTCAAGTTCTTCTAGGCTTTTACAAACAACAGAACATTTTCCAGTATGTCTTTTAATGCTCTGACAATAATCGGTTAAAAACAGTTTAAGTATCGAAACAGATACTATATGTTTTCCATACTAATTTTAATTTAACATAATTGTATGCCTTGAGTTTAACAAGTTGCTGAGTTCCAAAATGTTCAACTATGGTATAATCAGTAATTGATGTGAACTTTAAATGATTTTCGAAAAGTTAACAAGCCAAAGAAAAAATTGTGTGTCCTGAAAACTTTGGTGGTTTGAAATCATTTTTTAAAGATTTGGAAAATAATAAGTGATTAAATATTTTAGATACAAAATTTCCATGATGGCTTTGGTAAAAATTATAGTGATTTCAAATCTTTGATTCTTTCTAGGACACCCCTATATATTTTAGTATTAAATATTGACGTTATTTTTTTTATCAAACAATTACACTTTGGCTTGTTTCTTGTTTTCTCGTTGTTATTTTCATTTGTTTTTGTGTTTGCGAAGTAAAAATTGATCTATATATAACAAGTATATAATTATTCAATGTTTTTGGTGTACATTACTTATATGTGTGTAAAACAAAAAAAAAACTAAACTAAAATCCAAATGATGTGCTTATCAGATTATTGTGAAAATTTTACTTTGTTATAAAAACGAAAAATGTTTTCTTTTTCTTTCTTTCAATTCTTTCCTATATTATAGATCCATATGTGAAAATTGCAATCATGCAAAATGGCAAACGTTTGAAAAAGAAGAAGACAAGTATCAAAAAATGCACCCTCAACCCTTACTATAATGAGTCGTTCTCATTTGAAGTACCATTTGAACAAATACAAGTATGCGAGAATGTATTATACTATCCTATAAAAAACCACAACTACTACTTTACTACTACTACTACTACTGCCTACTGCCTACTGCCTATACATACTAACCTACTACTACTACTAAAACTACTACTATTACTGTTACTACTACTGTTACTGTCCTCTTCTGAACTATCTACCAAACAAGCCAAAAACCGAGTTTTGAGTACCCAACCTTCCTCTAAACACACACTAGCCTACTTACGTGCAATCGTTGTTGTTAATTATACTACATATATACCGTATATATATCCATATATTGAATACTTGTATTCCGAAACAAACGACAACAACACCAAACTCTGAACCAAACAACCGAACACTCTTAGAGACCAATCTTCGTAATACCCATAAAGATATCTTAAACTTCCCCCCAAAAACCAACTTAACCAATCTTTGTGTTCTATAAGACCTATCAAAAACAAAAAAAAAAAAAAATACAAACAGTATTCAATGTTCAATGTTGTAATTTACAATTTAACCGAAATTTGTTCAAGCTTTTTTATTTTCGAAAATCCCTAATTTACTGTTGTAAATATTCAAAAACCAAAAGTGAAAAGCCCTAAAATTTAGCAAATGTTTTCAGTTGTTGCCTTTGTTTGTGTAGACTTTGAGAATATTTGTGGAACTTGATTTCTGATTTCTGAATTCTGATTTCTGATTTGAACCTGAGTTTTTAACCAGCCTCGATGTGTGCTTAGCCCAGCTGATTTGGTTTATGTTTTAGTTGTTAAGTGTGTAACAAACGATTTGGAGACAATCTGATCTGGCAAGAGGAAAAGCAAAGACAAGCAGGCATGCCTAGTGGCCTAGGAATCCGTAAAATCTGGCATTCTAGATGCCGCACTCACCGTCTTAGACGCAATTTTGAATGGAGAGCAAGCCGTAGTGTGCCCGCTTCGCTCGCAACCGAGCAAAAATCAAAAATCAACAAGCAAAATGCAAAAAGCAATTAAGCCGAAAAGCAATTAAACAGAAAAGCATTAAGCATTAAGCATAAGCATTTAAACAGTCGAGCAGAGAAGCATTAATGCAAACTAGCACGAGCCTTACACACTTTACGCTACAGAGAATACAACTTATACAAAAATTCGAATACCAACCTAAACTACTCTTTCCATAATACAAACTATCGCAAACTCCTATACCAGCGGCGTCAATAATGCACCACGCAGCAACCAAATCGCAGTGGGTACATTATTTTGACACTGTCTTCTGATTTGAATATCGAATACCAATCGCACCACAACAGCTACAGTACAAATACAGTATACACAGAATATAATACCCAAAGCCACCACAGAGAAGTATAGCGTATCACCAAGTAAAACCAACCAACCATCAACTAACATATAGCCAATCGATCCGGAATCCGGAAGCCGGAAGAACTGAGAACTCTGTTACGGTTACGTTACGTGTGCTAGTCCAAGAATTATTCCCCTGTCTCTAAGTAACATATTATAGGACCCCCAGCCATGACCAATTAACAAAGAACGACAAATGGGATTGAATATTATACATTTTCGTTTACACGTATTTAATGAACATTTTTCTTTTTGCCACAGCTTAAGTGTCTGCTATCAAGTATCGAGAAAAGTAATTTGTTCATTAGTCCCCGAGGTTGAAAAGAACGAGATATAACTCGCTCCTATATCTGCCGACACCTTCATTTGCTTCTCACCTTACGCTAATCGAAAGCTTTTAGGACGTTCTTCGTTTTATTTTTCAACATTTATTATTTCAAGCTACTCATTCTTAGCTTTAGACATTTGCATGATCTGCTTGTTAACTCACAAAAAAAAAAAAAAACAAAAAAAACCAAAAAGGTATACCAAAAATAAAATACTCCACAGCAAGCATTTTCCTTTTTGAAGGAGCTTTATGTAATGCTTGAGCGCCTTTAGATGTTTGATAAACAACCAAAAAAATAAATAAAACCCCAACCCAAAGTGCTTGTGCAAACTGGAAACTTTCCACCCAACGATCTTTACGATTAAACCTAGCCTGCACTAAATCCAATATACAGCACTCAAAAAATACTCCACGTAGTGCCGAAAACCTCTGTTAATAATGTGCTTCCCAAAAACAGCATTCGTAGTGTCTGCCTGTTAGCGAACAACAGTTCCCACTTCTACCCCAAAAACAACTAAAACCCAAACAGAACACGTATATCGAAATACCGAAAAAGTTCTTCAACTCAAAAGCGAAGCCCCCATTCCCGTTCAAAAAAAAAAAAAGATATAGACCGATAAACGTAGCCGATACCCCAGAATATCCCTACTAATGCCGTTACTCTCCTTGAACACTTCTTCCCCTCCACCCGCGCGCAGAAAATCTGTCTCGTTGTGACCGTCGTGGATTATGATCGTATTGGAACCTCCGAACCCATCGGCCGCTGCATACTCGGCTGCATGGGCACCGGAACCGAGCTGCGTCACTGGTCCGATATGTTGGCCTCGCCCCGCCGGCCCATCGCCCAGTGGCACACCCTCAAGGATCCCGAGGAGACCGACGAGATCCTCAAGAACATGAAGTAAGGCGCTACCACGGATAACCAATGCAGGTGAATAACCAAAGTACCGTTAGTTTAAAAAAATCATAGCATACTATTTGGGGTTCTTTTTCGGAACTGTAATAACGGTAAATGTTATTTACATGAAGCAAGAATTATATATTTGGTGGTATTTTTATTATATGGTGCGTATTTATATAATCAATGGATGTTATTTTTCTTAAACACGAGATAAAGGTTTCTGATTTAAAATAAAGACGTACGTATACTTAATATTCCGCAATTAATACCTCCACTTGACTCGATCGCTTGCAGACTTACAGCACATCTATCAAACGTATAAAAGTAACCAAAGAACACTTAAGCGAAACCGTCAGACATAGAAATCGAATGCATCATCATCAGCTACAAAGGATCCTCCTCAACCGAAACGACAAGCAACAATCAGCGAAATATCGTAGTTAAAGCAAAAAATTGTTCATCTCTATGCCGTTATCTAAACATAAACATACTGGAACACACAAAAGCCGATTAAGTAATACCTTAGGTGTCTAAGTTATATCTCATTGGTTGAACAGCAAATCGAAGTGAAAGACATAAAGTCCTATATAAATGGTAGAAAGCAATGTGTCCCTTTCACTGACCGGAATCCGGAATCCAAGATATAGTTCGATCGATTTTACACATAATCTCACACATGAATTCATTTCGAGATCTATGAATTTCTTGTTGTCCCTGATTGAGAATTTCAAAACTATGAAAACGACGAGTATGTTTTATTCTATAAAAATCTCTATATACTCAAACTATTTAACGGATGGCCGAGAGAGTATCATTTTTAACTGTTAAGTTTACTTTGGTTTTTAATTAGTCCAATGATAAAAGGGATCTTTCCGGTTTTAAATTTGTTTTTCAATCGTTGAAGGATTACTAGTGAATAATATTACTGACTAATGAAAATATAAACAAAGCAAGAACGTAAAGGCAACTTAAACTGTTATGTAAATTATTTATTATGTTTAACTTATTGAGCATTACGTACTTAACTGTGTAAGTATAAATCTTTGTGTGTTTAAAAGAAGAAGTGAAAATGGCAGACATATTAACTGGAGGAAAGGAAGCAGAATCATAAAAAATATATATTATATATAAATATTATGTATAACCCTTGCATAGACTAATGTTATGTATACACAGAGCTGAGTTTTGACGACCTAACAAAATCAGACGAATAAGTAGAAGGGAAACCAAAACAAAACCGAAAAGCAAATAACAAAAGTTAAACTTTAAAGCGTGATTTCAACGGAATATATCATCAGTTTAAACTTTACAAAATATCGAACATTTTGCACAATGGATCAGATTGAAATATTCTTTTCTTTGGTTTCGTTTTCAATAAATTAGGAAATATGTGGCTCAGTTCAGGAAAGGTTTCCATTTATTAGTCAATTTTTAATTTTGGAAGCTTCAACTATTTGTTTGAGTTATAACTTACAACTGTCCCTTCAGTAGCTTCTTCTTCTCAAATCTTAAGGTTTCTACAACTATCTATGAATCGTTTGTTTCCGACCTTATCACATTCCCTGGTTTAGAAATCATATTAGGACCTAATGAAAATATACATACTAACTAAATGATTATGGCAAAATGTTAAAACAGAAAAAGAAATATTAAGAACAATAATAGTTATTACTATTTATATTATATTCAAGTATATGACATCTAAACAATATACATTTATATATACTTAAAACATTGTGCTCTTGCTGCACAAGCCTACTAAGAATTTGGGATTTTTAATATGGAAAAGCGGCGGCAACAAAAACTTCTACCTACCTAAAAAAAACACAAATTAGCTAACTAAGCTAACAAAACTCTCAAGAGCAGAGCATTCCAAAATAAATAAAATTCAAGACAGAGGAAAAAAACGAGCCATGATTTTCTGATTTTTTCCATATTGAAAGTAAATGAAATTCAACTAATACATTAGATGTTTTTGTCCTGTAAATGGTATATTATAATGATAATGATAAAGCGTAGTTAGGGATCTGTGTATCCCCTGTACACACACTTACACAGTTGTAGTTATGTTCACCAAAGCAAGATGCAAACTTACAAATCGAGAAAAATACCAAAAATATTTATGTAATATAATTCATCTAAATTTAACAAATCGAAGTGGACGCCAGGAAAAACAAGTTATACAACTTATTACAAGTATTGTTCAATAAAAAAATAAATAACTTTGCTTTTCCAAATAATTACTGTAAATTATCTCAAACCCAAAAACAGCAACAAAACAAAGACACAAAACACATATGTATTAAACAAATGGTAAATTACTAACAAAAATCGAAGCCTAACCACAACAGCAACAAAATGAAACAAACAAGACAACAAACTATATATACTTGCATATTAAACAAATTATATGAAATTATATAAAATGATGTTGATTATTGATTTAAATTAAAACTGAGAAAGTGAATAAAACAAATTATATATACACCTATATATAAATATTAAACAAAACAAAAGCAAAAATTTCATTTGTGTTTTCCTTTTAGTTGGTATATGTTTATTTACACAGCGTTACACTGAGAAAAACCGAATAAAAGCCGAATACTTTTTGCGGCAGTGTAAGTGTTAGCCCGAAACGACATGTACATACACACACAGCAAACACCCATACACAAACACATGATAACACCCACACTGAGACACCCGCGAACTGACCAAAAGCAAGTCGAACATATGAATGTATTATAAAGTATACACGAAAAGTGCATACACTTACCGTTAGTTATACAATATCTGTATATGTAAATCTATTATTTTCAAAAGCGTTTCCAAAGCAAGCAGAATGCAGCGCATAGCCCATCACAAAAGCACAAATCAGTAGAGAAAGTCGGAGCGGAAGATATTAAGAGGAGTTAAAGTAAATAAGAAACTAAAATAGGACACACAAATAAAACAAAACGAAAGCAACAGCAACAACAACAAAATAATGTAGCAGTCCATGTACTTTTATTTTCTAGATATGTATGTATGTAATTTATATTCGATAAATCAGGCATTATGCATTTAGCAACCAGACAAAGGCATAAAAACGAAACTAGGATTCACTGTCGAAGAAGATCAAAAGATCAGGATCGATCATCCTACCATTCACCATAGTTAAAGCCCGATTCCACTGACAAAAGCATGGAAAGGGGAGTGTTTCAGTGGAGTCGGGATTATTATACATATAGAGCGCACCTGAGGGAACGATCGAGTAGCAAGTTAAGAACAATGAGTAACGACAAATACAAGATACAAGATATAGAAATATGCGTTATAGGTACAACAGACCCAAGATATAGGACAATGTTTGATGTTGATATGAGTTAATCTGGCCACCTAGAGTGCGCATTATATGCATAGATACGAACCTACATACATAATGCAGAAGATAAGCCCTTCCACGAGATCATTTTATATACCCAACGATCGGGGGAGGGCGGCAAACATTATACATAACCATCGACAGCACCGCATAGTATGAACACAGCATACGGAATACATACATATAAATATCCACGTAACCAAGCGATATACACAGGGACGTAAGGTCCACATACTTCTCCCAGGAGCTCTCCATCCTTCGGTTCAGATCCAGACTCTATATACCCACACATGCATACACTCTCATCCAGCACTTACACTCGCGGATATCATTTTATGACTCTTTCCGGAGTTTTGTTGTTTACGATAAACTGTTTATAGCTGTTTTTGAATTTTAAATAAATTATATTTACTATATGGCAAAACCAAGAATAACACTAAAGCAAAACCATATATGATAGTAATATATGTTTTAAATGCTATTACCAAACGAATCTTAAATTGAGGCTTTGCAAGCGAAGTTGCAAGCGAAAGAATATTATTGAATAAACTGCATATATATATACATACTATAATGCAACTGTATTGCAAGACAAGCATAGCATTTTATTTCCGAGGCAAAAAGAATTTAACGAATCACACACGCAACTCTGACACACACACACCTGTGTGTGCGGCTAGCGGTAATCGCAGGTGAGCCTTCGGCCCCAAGATTTGCGGCCGTGCCCCCAAAACAATAAAATGCCCCAGAACAACAGCAACAGATAGAAGATCTATGTAAAACACAAGCGATGTGAACGACACAGATACACACAGATACACAAGAACTAACATATGTGAAATGAAATGAGGAATGTTTATAAACAATAAACAAATGTTTGAAAACTAACCATCGTTCTTTTGTTTCTGGCTTGTGGTTGGTAATCAAGTATTTTCCAAGCTCTGCCTTATCGCTTAACAGCTGTTATCAGCTCTCAATGGCTCAATCTAATTAAAAAATAGTCTATATAAACTCAACTTGTTAGTACGCTAATATTATCCTCTTGCTAAGAAGACTATGTTTATTTATTTATTATTTAAGTTTTGAGCCCTATTTCCTTGACCGAACCTGTTATGTGCAGTTAATCTCGTTTTATACAAAATTTGCTCGGACTATATTTATTTTCTTATCTGAAGCTCAACTACAAAATTAGTTCAGTCACAAAGCCACAGCGAAGGGCAGCGGATGTATTTTTCAAAGCGTATCTGGTTGATATAATTAATACAGTATCGAATTATCGATTACTTTAGGATTGTGTTTTTAACTATCTTTATGTTCATCAAGGATATAAGCGCATATACCATTTTTAATTTAGTTTGCATTAAAAAATGAAATCACCTTGAACAATAACAATTGCAATAGCTATTAAAATAACCATCAGTATATCCTTTAAAGTCTAAAATAAAACTTAGTATGCGAGGATTCGATTATTAATTGGTTCAAACTACATGACACATGACATGTAGTACTAAAATCTAAGGCAAGAACATAGAGCGTTCAAAATAACTAAAAAAAAACAGCTATGAAGCAAACAGAGCTACATATTAAGGATGTGTCCACGATTCGCATCCTGATGCTGGGCGACAAAGGTGTCATAACCAACTTTTCATGATATCCTATGGTTCATTACATATTCAATTTATTTTTCCAGGTGTGGGCAAGACAAGTCTGACCAATTTGCTGGCCACCAGTGCCGTAACGCCCACGCCTGCTTCGCGAACCGTAGGCGAGGGGTCCTGGAGTGTCCAGGTGCGACTCCACGAGTATCCCATTTCGGTGGACCTGCCGCCCTCGCCCACCTGGACATCTCCCTCCTCCTCGGAACAGTCGGGGAAACATCCTTTTCCGCGAAGTGCACCTGTTGCCAGCGAGATTCTTTACTTTGTTGAGTTTTACGATATTAATAGCGGTCTGCGCATGCGACGCGAGCATCGGGACAGCTTCTATAAGAACATCGATGGCATTGTCCTGGTGTACAACCTGCAGGACATGCGCACTCAAGACAACCTGCACGATTGGCTGTACGATCCGCTGAGTAAAATTAGCAAACATCGCCATCGGCGCACGCGCTCCATCTTGAAGGGCCAACATGTTCCGATTCTGGTGGTGGGCACCAGGTTGGACAAACTGGCCCGCCGACCTTTGCGACGGAGCGGGAACATTGCCAACCAACTGGAGGCCGACGAGATCCTACTAGACTGCCGCGACCCGGATTCCTTCGCGGACAACACCCGAAATCAGGGCAAGCTGCGCTGTTTCCTCAATCGGGTCGTTGAATTCAAAGAACAATTTCCACTCTCGCGTCCTCGCCGCCTTTAAAAAAACGTGAACTTGTATTTTCTAGTCCCTTGTTGATTTTTAAATAATATTTTTGAAAAATATTTTGCGGAAGGTTTTGGTTTTCTATCAAACGGTAAGGATATTGAAGAGGTTAGACATGGCCTTTTGCTTTCCATAAATTCTTTTATTTTTCTCTTGGAGCTTAATGTCCCTTGGGGTTTAATGATCTCGGATCTTGTGGATTATATAGGATGTTTGGTGTATTTTAGCCGGGAGGCCACTTCAGCTGGCGACCGCCGAGGAAGTGCAAATGCAAATGGTAAACCGACTGGGCACCGTGCTTTCCGTTGTTGATGACCACACGGTATCCCTCCTTCAGACCCAGATCCTGGGCCACCTTGCGACCCACCAACATGAGGTGGCCCAGTAACTCAGCATCTCCATCCTCCGCCAGCGAAAGTTGGGCGATCGGCTTGCGGGGGATCACCAAAAAGTGGGTTGGTGCCTGTGGGGCCACATCGTGGAAGGCCACGCACTAGAGAGGTGGATAAAGATAATTACTATCTATTCACTTTCCAATTAGATTATAAAACCACCTTGTCATCCTCGTGGATAAAAGTGCAGGGTATCTCCTTGCGCAAAATCTTTCCGAAAATCGTATCTTCACTGGCAGCTGCCGTTTGCGCTTTTTCCACTTCGCTCGCCATTCTAGCACCACAAGTTGCAAGATGACGAGAACTGTAAAATAATTAAGTATATATAATCGATGCAGTTTAGATAATTGACTGCAAGTCGCGTGCACTTACCTGAAAACACGAACAAAATTCCGGCCGGCCGACAAGAACATCGAAACAGAGCTGCCAACTGGTTATAAAATTCCAGGTTCTGGCATTATTTAGGGTAAAACAAGTGCTCACTTCGGCGTTTGTAAAATCTTTATTTATTTTTATTTTAAAAGTACAAAATTATTACAGGGCAAACTACGACTTTAAGCTGAATAATCATACTCAGTTTAATTAAGGATATGGATCATTTAAAAACAATGTTCCTAAAATAGAAGTTATACATAAACGGACTTTGGACCCTGCAGCAACAGCCGGAATTCAAAGAGATCATTAATAAAAACCAGTAGTACGGCAGACAAGAAGAAGATCCAGTTCCTTCGTGGCAACACATTTGTGATAAGTCTGCACTTTCATCTTCAAAATCTGGACACAAATCGGTTTTTTATGACGTAATGTCGTCGGCGTCCTCCTTATCGCTATAATATGCCCTCAGATTAGTTGAGAACTATCGTCAAGGTGCAAATTCCAATAATCCACTTGATTTTGAAGAGAAGACCTCACTAGTTCCAAAATCAAGCAGCTGCCGCCGGAACAGGTAAAAACAACCCAAAGTCATGGCCACCACTGAAAAGGTCTCCACGGAGCGGAAAGCCAATCCAGTAAAGTCCTTCCTGACCGGAGGATTTGGAGGCATCTGCAATGTGTTATCCGGACACCCCCTGGACACCATCAAGGTGCGCCTGCAGACAATGCCACGTCCTGCGCCTGGAGAGGCTCCCATGTACAAAGGAACCTTCGACTGTGCCGCTAAGACCATCAAAAACGAAGGAGTTCGTGGATTGTACAAGGGAATGTCCGCTCCTCTAACCGGAGTAGCTCCAATCTTTGCCATGTGCTTCGCCGGCTATGCCTTGGGCAAACGCCTTCAGCAGCGCGGCGAGGACGCCAAACTCACATACTCGCAGATCTTTGTGGCAGGGTCCTTCTCCGGCTTGTTCTCCACCTTGATCATGGCTCCCGGGGAAAGGATCAAGGTCCTTTTGCAGACCCAACAGGGTCAAGGAGGCCAGCGCAAGTACAACGGCATGATCGACTGCGCTGGAAAGCTGTACAAGGAAGGAGGACTTCGCAGCGTTTTCAAGGGCAGCTGCGCCACAATGCTCAGGGATTTGCCCGCCAACGGCCTGTACTTCCTGGTGTATGAAGCTCTTCAAGATGTTGCGAAAGCAAAGTCGGAGTCGGGCAAAATAAGCACTGCTTCGACGATTTTCGCTGGTGGTGTTGCGGGTATGGCCTACTGGATCCTGGGTATGCCCGCCGATGTCCTGAAGAGTCGTCTTCAGTCTGCTCCGGAAGGAACCTACAAACACGGTATTCGCAGTGTCTTCAAGGATCTGATTGTTAAGGATGGTCCACTGGCTTTATATCGGGGCGTTACGCCCATCATGATCCGCGCCTTTCCGGCAAACGCTGCCTGTTTCTTTGGCATTGAGTTAGCCAACAACTTCTTTAACATTGTTGCTCCAAATTTCTAGTATAATAAAATTTATGTTTTACTAGTGATTTTAAAAAAATCTTGAGAGAAGGTTTTAATCTATTCAAAGAGGCTTGATTATGCAAATTTTTGAAGTGCTCTACCTATAACTAAACCTAAACAAAATATTGGGGCTTGCGCATGGTAATGCCATGATCCGCAAGAGCTGGAACCAAATCCTCCATTGCCAACGTGTACTTGCGATCCTTGGGGTTCTTCTTGTCCTTACTGGAACTGTGCCCACTGGAGTGCTGGATGTTTGTGGTGCGCGTCTTGCAGTGCTGCAGTGCATCGTTGGCAATGTCCGAGATGAACTTCTGGGCCGAAACGGAGATGAGGCGCACTATTTGAGGATCCACGGTGGAGAAACCAGCCTGCAGGGAGAGGGAATTAGTGTATGGCTTTCAATACCTATTGTAAACATACAGTTTTTAGGGTGTGCATGGTAAGAGCATCTGGAATGGTTGGCGTGTAATCCTCTAGCTGTCGTAGAAGCTCATCCATGTCCGCCTCGTCCGCTGTTGCTGGCATTTCCTCAACATCCAAGTCCTCCGCATCGGAGTCCAGGTCGGAATGAATTTGAGGCTCGTTATCGTCATCTTCAGTGTCCGTGGCTGATGCCAGAGATTCTGCGGGTGTTACGCTGATGTCCTCGCCATCGGAAGCCATTATTTCAGATTGTTGAAAGATTTTTTTTAATAAATTGAAAGAACTTCTTTGTAAACAATTGCAGGCAAGAAGAAGAATCGATTAATTTCTCGATTTTTCGGCCATTGGCGTAGCGTAGAAAATTTCGATAGGGGTCCAAATGTTTCTTCTTCGATAGAAAACCAAGAATCGGCTTCCGATAACTAACATCTCCCATCATTAATCTTGTGTACTTCTCACGAATTGTTTTCTGTTTACAATGGTGGGCTCCAACTTCGGCATTATTTACCACAATTCCAGCGCCGGTGGCTCTGGAGGACAGGGCAACCACGGACAATCTTCAGGAGCAGCTGGTGGTGGAGGAGACCGAGAACGGAACACACCGGCTTCGCATCTCAGCGACTTCATGTCGCAGTTAGAGGATTACACTCCACTGATTCCGGACGCAGTGACCGCGCACTACCTTAATATGGGCGGATTTCATGCGGATGACAAGCGCATCGTCCGGTTGATCAGTCTGGCCACCCAGAAGTACATGTCTGATATTATCTACGATGCACTGCAGCACTCGAAGGCAAGAACTCATATGCAGACGACTAACACTCCCGGTGGATCAAAGGCGAAGGACCGCAAGTTCACCCTGACCATGGAGGATCTGCAGCCTGCTCTGGCCGACTATGGCATCAACGTTAGAAAACTGGATTATAGTCAGTAAATGCAGGCTCAATAAAGCCGAGAAGTAGCACTACATTTTTTTCTCATTAAATAAAGCTTATAAAAATACTTTATCAAATTATTAAAGATATACATATATTTATCCAGTAAATATATTCAAAACATTAATTTTTATGAAGATGTTTTTAGTCCATAGATAGTATTACATTTCGAGCATATACAGCTTAATTTTTATTTTTAAATAGTGTTATTCAAAGTCTTTAAACTAGGTGGCTAATACTAAGCGCTTGTTTATTGGCATGTTATGAATTTCTTAAAGCTGCGCGAGGTTCCACCAGCCACTCGGAACGCCAGGACACCCGTGAATATAGTCACTATGTAGTTGATCAGCAGAGTGGTGGTGTACAACTCGTTGACATTGAGAAGAGTAATCAGCGAGACAAACAGGTGGCTGCCCACCACATAGCCACTGTGAATATAGTTGTTCGTGTCGAAGGCGTTAAAGAAGATTACGCTCCAAAAGGTGTGCAGCAGGATTATAGATAAGGCTTGAGCCGCAGATGTCACAAAGAACAGCTCCGATCCACTTTTTAAGCCCATTGTGCCGGGACCACTCTAAAAAGCAGAGAATATTTTTATTGGAGAAATACTTTATCGACAAATTACTTACCATATCAGCTAGTACATTGACCAGAGCAAACATCCCGGATATAATTCCAAAACCCAGGCCGGAAACATAGGCAAGAATATGCTTGTTATCCGTCACCCTTGTGTCCTCAGCCACGGCATGCAATCCTTGCTCGGTGCTCCGCAGGATTCTGTAGATGATGTAGCGGAAGCCCTCCTGACACAATACCGAGAATACCACGCCAAAGGCCAGGAATTCCTTTAGTGGGATCAGGGCGTACCACAAGGACGAGATCAGCAGCGAAAGCAGCCAAAAGAAGGCCGCCGCTATCAGGATAATTATCCGCACCGGGTCATTGGCGATGGTGAAGACAAATAGGGCAAAGGGCAGTCCAAAGGCAATGAAGGTGCAGCCAAAGAACTCGGGCAACGTCATCTTTTCTTTGTAATATTCCTGGCTTTCCGCTTGGTTTGTGGGTGTTTTGGTTTACGTTGGAAGAGGAAGCAGACTGGCTGACAGAGAGTTACCGGACTGTTTCATTCGATTTGGGGATGCCACACTGTGAAGCTTCAATGTTTTATACCCTACACTGTTTGGCCAGTTTTTAAAATCTAAAACTGTTTAAAACTTCGTCTGCGCTAATTTTATGTATCTCAAAAAATATTTATTGTCTTGATTTCTAAAATAGTTTTTAATGATGCCAGACTACTCAAGAGCAATGTTTTCGTACCGTACAATCCGAGAGTCTGTTTATTTCAATAGGAACTTGTTGAATAAATACTGAACAAGAATTTACTGAAAGCTAAAGTAAATTAAACAAAAATTTTTTGAATGAGTTCCATTTTGTTTAATTTATTAATTTTATTTAATTATTATTTCCAATGCTGCCCAACATTGGCGCTCGCGTAGAGTGCTTGCGCCGTCGGCTATTCTCGTTTCACCCGCACTTAACAAAGGCATCCGTCCCACTTGCAATATTTTTGTTTGGGGCGGGATTAGTCACTATAAATTGACTCAACTCGGCTGCACTATGCCAACCGCATAATCCGCCGTAAACCAGAAGCGAATTGCAAGTGCCCAGCTGCGGATCAAAAACGGCAGCCAGTGAAAAAGAAAAAAACAAAGAGATTTCAGAGCCCATATGCCCAGTGAGTAAATCACACTTCCAATTAGCGTGTCTCCGGTGATTGATTTCCGAGATTTCGTGCACTACTTTGCATTCCGTAGTTCACGCCGTAATGGCCAAGCGCCTGCTGCCCCACCAACCGTCCTACGAGGGGGAGGCACCCGGACCGGATGAGCTGGACAGTCCAGCCATCGAGGCGGCGGCCCTCGACATTCCCCCGCCAGAATCTGATAAGGCGCTCCAAAGGGGTATGTACATATGGATGAGTATACTTTTTAAAATTAAAAAAATATATAAATTGGTTTATGAATATCATCTCAATAAATACTTTTTGAACTTTTTAGGTGTCTGGGAGCGACCCACAACGAATTCCGAGTATAAGCCGCCCACCGATGGGAGCACCGTGCTCCGCTTCGATATTCTGATGGCGCACATTATGCCTCCCGATGGCGAGGACGTGAAGATCAAGCGATTCGTAGTCTACGAGCTCACTGTAAGCCAGGATGGCACCGCGGAGGACACTCAGCCGGCGAAAATCGAGCGCCGCTACACGGACTTCCGGGAGCTTTATCTGGGATTAAAGCGGCAACATCCGACGGAGCTGGCCAACAAGTATTTTCCATCAAAGGTGCTGATGGGTAACTTTAAATCCGAACTGATTGGCGAACGAAGCGCGGCCTTCGAGGCTTTCCTCACATATGTTGCAAGTCAGTCGAAGCTTCGGGACTCGGAGGACTTCTTGCGCTTCCTGCAGCATGATGAACTGACCAGAGCGTGCCAGTTTTTAGATGAACGACGCCACGAGATGGCCATACCCATTCTGGAGAACTGTTTCCGGCTGCTGAACAAAATCTACATGAACAGATCGCGACCGGTGCTCTTGATTCTGTGTCGCCTGGTGGCGGCCTGCACCTCATCACCAGTGCCTCATCACGCAGCGGAGCGCTGGGCTCTATTGGCACTCAGTCGCTTTGAGACGCTGTGCGATATCGACCTGCTGCCGCTCTACATTCCACTGCTCCACACTTGCGCCCATTTGTGGTTAGTAAACTGGCAACATATTTATTTATTTGAAAACTTTACAACGCAACCTTTCAGGTGGCAGCGCGGCCAGGACCAAAAGCCGATCACCGACCGACTGACTGACATGTCCAAACAGGGCATAAACACTGCGAACACCGAGAGCCTCATGCAGGCCATTCACAAGATTGATCCACGCACCGAAACCATTTAAAGCGCAATCTCCACCAGAATTAGCACCCATAAGTTCAGCGTTTTGTTCAGTAGATTTTAGTCGTCAAGCGTAAAGTGCAATTAGAGAACGTGTGCAATTAGATTTAAGGTGAAAGGAGTATTTATCAACCTTCAAGGTAGCAGCGATTTTAAATAACACTGTTTGCCCAAGTAGTTCGTTTAGGTATTTTACATAACAACCCAAGAATCCTTATTGATGTCACAAAAATTCAGTTTTTCAAAGATCAAATACCCGGCTCCCTATGTGTTCGTTATTTTTGTCAAATTTAAATGTATTATATTTTATTTTAAACTCCAGATAATTAACATAAAGTTGGCCCTTGTTAATAGCTAAAGGTAATATTGCGACTAATTCGTATCTGTATCCTTAATGTCCTACTTTGGTAACTTAAAGGTTAGTCTAAGCGTGTTTTGTTTCATATTACGTATTGTTTGATATTGTGCATTCGTCTCTGTAGTTTATAGTGGGAGTTGTGATATAGCTTTGCACTCTTTTCCACCCAAAGTGAATCACAAACGTACTATTCAAAGTCCGTGACGCACAGTCTGCACATCCAAGCCTAGAACTCCATATCAGCCTGAAAAAAACATCAGACATGTCAAACGCAGCTCCCAAAGTTATTTATTACAGCCCAACGCCTTGTGATTGCTTTTTTCAATGAATAAATATTATACTCAAATGTTTTTCAAAGCAGAAAACTTTGTCTGTCAGATTTAGTCATTAAACACTAAATGGTATATGTATATTTAATGGTTTGTTTTTTGCGTATGCTTTTTTCTGAGTCATTTTGGGGTTTAAACTTAGATTTACGAGTGCACTACTTTATGATTAACTTATTCCTATTTGCTGTGAGGATCTTATGACCGCACTCAAAATGTACAATGCGAATTATTTATAACTTATGACGTCACACAATCGATTCAACTATATTATAAATAGAGGGGTACGTGCGTTTTAAACAAATTGTTAGCGCCCTTGAAACATGACATACATCATTCAAAATGTACAGAATCAACCAAATACAGTCCCAGCTTCCATCTGTTCAGCGGAAGAGTCGCGTGAAGGTTTTCAAAGCTTGCGAAATTGCTTTCGTCGTGTCCGCCCTGCAAAGGAATATACTTTTGTTGAAAATAGAGCAAAATATTATGGTGAGGAGTAGCTACCTGAGCACCGTACTGCTAAATTCATCCAGCTGCTGCTGCGTAGCCGTCACGTAGCCACCGCTGTTCTTCTTGGGCAGCGCCTCCAGCGCCTGTGCCAGAAACGGCTGCATCCGTTCGTTGCCCACCACCTGCTTCAGTTCGTGGATGACCTCGGCCACGTCCACCAGCATGTAGGAGTGCAGCTGGAAGACCGACGCCTGAATCAGGTTCATCACTAAGGCTCCACCGTGCTGGTTGGCCAGTTCCACCACCAAGGGACGGCACTCGGCATTCCGGCTGTGGCTGTTCGTCCTGCCCCAAACCAACAGGTTGATGAAGAACTTCATCACCGAGGAGTTCGCCTCGCGGTGATCCAGCGAGCAGGCGATCAGGGCGCACTGGAAGATCGGTGTGATGAGGCTGCTCTGGAGCAGCTGCTGCGGACAGCAGTCCAAGTAGCGGGAGGCCAGTCGGAAGAAGTCGTCCACGGTGTCGGGGTTGTTTTTAAGGCCATTCTCCATTTGCAGCAGACCGAAGGTGGGTTCGATAAAGGCCTGCAGCATCTCCAGCAGTCCGCCAATGCACTCGTTCGACTTGGCAAACTCGTCCACCAGAATGGAGCCCACGTAGAGGAAGCAACTGTGGTGCTGCACCGCATACAGCAAGACCATTTGCTTGATCAGCGGCTCCACCAGCAGCACCGCCTGCTTCCGCACCATCCGGATGCCGTAGCGGATCAGCCGGCAGGTGCGCTCCATGATGCGCAGGTCGCTCTGGTACTTGTCCATCACGCGCGATATCAGCTGCCAGGCGTCGTTCAGAATGGCCACCGTGGGATGCTCCACGGTGTCGGGCACGTCGGGATTCGTGTGCCGGATGATGGCACAGGCTCTGTCTATCCAGTAAACGGGATCGCTGCGCTCTCCTTTCTGGACGCCAGCCGCACTGCTCTCCACCAGTTGAGCCAGTGGCTGCAGCTGGAAGCCAACGATCTCCCGCAGAGCGGGCTGCAGTTGCTCTCGCGGCAGGCGGGTCAGAATCAGGGAAATGCCCTTGAGCAATCCGATGGCCACATCGTTGTTGATCTGAAAGCTGTCCAGGCTGCGGGCGATCTCCACCAGACCGCTGATGTGGCACACCATCTTCTGACGGCAGGCGGAGCAGATCGAAGTCAATGCCATGGCCGCAGCTGGGGCCAAGCCGTTCTTCTGCTGCAGAGCGTAGAGCAGAAAGTTGAGCACCGCCTCCAAGGACTCCGGATGGTTTTCAATCCAGTCGCACAGCTCGCCGATCAGCAGGATTGCCGTGTAGCGAACTGCTATGTGCGTTTGCTCCGACATGTTCAGGATGGCCTCCACCACCTTGGGTATTACCTCGTTTTCATCTCTGCAAGATTGGGTATTATTAATCTGTTATTATTTGAATACTCTTTATACGTACGGCAGGATGTTCTTGGCCACATTTTGCATTATAAACAGGGCCGCCTCCGTGGATTCCCACGTAGTTTCTGGTGTTTGCAGGATGTGGAACATTTGCTTGAAGCAGGCTCCAGACCCCACAATAAAGGCCACGTCTTTTATCAGATCTGATACCTTGCGTCGAAAGTCCTAAAAGGAAGTGAAAGGGAAATTAATACATATTTGAGAAACTCTCCCATTTAAAGACGAAAACGTTATAAAAATTGTAATGGTTTTTTTTAAGCACATTATCGGCTTTTAGATAGAAACCGGTTATAGCAATGACCGGCATTTAAGCTTAGATTTTTTCTTAACAAGCAACTGGCAATTTGACAACCTGGCGAAATCGAATAGCTCTTAGCCACTACATAAAAACTTAATTTGATCCACCAAATCAGCACGAATCCTTCAAAGAAACTCACATAGAAATTGTTGTTCTCCTCGATAAGACCATCGTGGTCGCTCTCCATCTGCGAGTGGCGGAACAGGGCACTAATCAGCCGCTCAATGTGCGGCCGGAATAGTGCCGTCAGCTTGTCGTCGTTGCGCTGGAAGAGATCCTCGCTGAGCTTGTACCACAGGTGGAAGGTGATCTCGGCCACCTCGTAGTCAAAGTGGCCGACGCACAGCAGCACGAGGTCCAGTCCCTTCAGGCAGTAGTGTGGCTTCTGGGGATCGGCCAGTAGATCGTAGAAGAAGGCATCACACAGCGACGTGAATATCCGACAGTAATTGATGGTCTTGTCGGTGTCCTCGTGGGCCACACTCAAGTGGTAAGGCGTCTCCAGCATGCACACGGCCCCAAAGATCTGTGCCTCGACGGAGGACTCCGATTCGTTGGCGCCATTGCGGCTGGTGTTCATGCAGGAGAGCAAGGCGCACACGCATTCGGTGGCGTTGTCGTGCAGTTTGCCAGCGGTCTCCGGCTGCGAGAGCAAACGGAAGGCCAGCTGGGTGAGGGCGTTGTTGTACACATGCGAGACGGGAAAGGCGTGGATCACCAGCCAGGCGCTGTAGGTGCGCAGCGCGGCATTCCAAACGCGCTGCTGGTCAAGATCCTCCCGCTGTAGGCACATGCACAGGAACTTTAGGACGCACTCGGCGCTGGCGTCCAGCTGCTTGTGCACCTCCTCCCGCCGGTTGGCACCCAGCCGCAGGTACCGCGAGTCTATTTCCTCAGGCAGAACCTTCAGCACCTCCAGCAAAGGCCAAGTGGCGGAGGGATGTGGGGCTAGAGTCACCAGGAGATCGTTGATCGGCTCCTGCCAGCTGGCCATCAGCAGGGCCAGGTCAGCCACCGCCAAGCTGAGCTGCGTCACGATCACATTGTCAGTCTGTTCGTCGATCTGACCGATGTGTGTGATAAGGGAATCCCGCAGGGATTCGTGCGTGTGGGGGGAAGTTCGCTGAAGGAGTTCTGGATCTTGTTGCGCATCGTCTGCGCTGCAAAGTAGTTGGCGTGCAGATCTCGCTTCTGGTGCAGCAGCTCGTCCGCAATCGTCCACGAGTAGATCTTTAATTAACGAAACAAATGTTAGTTATCGAAGGACAGTCTAGGCCCCCCGGTCAACTGTCACTACTCACCGACTTCTGGAAGTCCTGCAGCCATTTGTTCGCCTTCTCCTGCTCTTTGGGGTTGTTCCCCTGAAAGAGGGCGCTTATTGCTTGGTACACCACGTCCACCGAGTACGTATCCATTTCACCGGCAGCTAGAATCAGCGCATAAATTTTCTTAATTATTATTATACTTTATTAGCGATGGCTGAGTGCGTACATCCCGTGAATCGATAACACAAGGAGTAAGCGCGCGATAGATCAGGGATGTGCGTGAGCGAAAGTCACTTTGACCATGTCGAACCTGCGAAACAGGGTTGTTGAATTTTTTTAGATATCGATATAGAATCAAAAAAAAAAATTGTTTATATATATTATATATATTTTATATATATATTTAATACGCGAAATTACTCGGAATAATTTTATTACTTAAAAGTGTGCAATTCCAAAAGCCTACTTAGTATTCCAGGTATCGGTTCCATCAGCAGAGTTTATCCCATCTCTATATCGAGTTCTGATCAGATTTATACAATGGATTCGGATAGCACCGTCACATCCTTGGAGGAGAACACCGAGAACTTCTGCACAAATCCGACGCGCGACATACTCGCCGAGGGCATCACCAACCTCTTCAAGCCGACCATCGAAAGGTTGGACGAGCGTGTGGCCTCCACCATCCAGTTGCAAGCGGAGCTGCGTGGCCAACTGGAGGCGCTTTCCGCCCAGCTGAGAGACATCGAAAGGGCCCAAAGTCAGATTCCCGAGTTCGCGGACAAGGTGAAGGAGCTGCTGAACGTGAAGCACAAGGTGACGGTGATTAGCAACGTCCTGGGCACCAGTCAGGAACGGCTCACTGGTCTGCACAAGCTCATTGAAAAGGAGCAGCGCCGGAGACAGGCGCTCCTCGATTCGGCCCTTAGCACCAACATATCGTAGATTCTGTCCACTATGGAGACGCCCTACACCGACCACTTGAGCCTGGAGGACTTCGAGCAGGTCTACGAACCAGCGGAGGATTCCTTTCTGCTGTTGGATGCATTGGAGAAGGATCTGGACTACCTCGCAGAACTGCAACCGCATCTTTGCGTGGAAATAGGTTCGGGCTCCGGGGTGATTATCACGGCTTTGGCCAAGAAACTGGCTAGCTTTTCCCTATGTCTGGCCACGGATATCAATCCCAAAGCCTGCAATGCCACAAGAAGAACGGCCGTCCGGAATGGAGCGCGCTTGGACAGCATTCGCTGCAATCTAGCGGATGCACTGCGTCCGCAATCCGTAGACGTGCTGCTCTTCAATCCCCCCTATGTGGTCACCAGCGATGAGGAGCTGCAAACACAACAGTTCGATTCCCACGTCGAATCCTCGACGGATCCCAATCTGGTCTTCTCCTGGGCCGGTGGACAGGATGGGCGACGCGTTACGGACATTTTGCTGAAGCAACTGGATGACATTCTTTCTCCCCGGGGCGTTCTCTACATACTCCTCCTGCGGGAGAACAAGCCCGACGAGATTATCAAATACTTAGAGGACCTTAATTTCCAGGCGGTTAGGTTTATGGAGCGACGCATTCCTGGCGAGCATCTTTACATCCTGAAGGTCACCAGGACCTCCTACTCCTCATCATGACTCGTGCAATAAACTCGTTCGACTGGAATATCAAAAACTAGTTATATTTTAATTAAAAGGTAACCTCTTTAAAGTTAAGGTTTACATTTGATACTTTTATTAAATAATACGCAAATACATTTTAATTAAAGTTGAACTAATTGAATAGAGCGTGTTTGTATTTTTTTCGAAGTTTGTCTTAAGTGAAATCCCAGCTGGAAAATACCTCTAGAAAATATGTTATTTTCATGAGCTTTTTGGCCTTCCCGCTTAACAGAATTTCCACATGTACTCAGTTAAGATTTTCCACTCCTTGCAATATCTGCATTTCCACACCACCACAGTTGTGATTTTTCCACCGTTTTGCAGGATCTGATTTTTCATTCCCTTGCAATATTTGCTTTTCCATTGAACTCCAATTTTCCATTTAATTGCAATAGCTGATTTTCCCCTACCCCATCCCCAATCCAAAAAAACAATACTTTTTAATTTGTAATATGCATTTTTTAATCTATTTACAGTCCAAGGAATGAACCTTAACCAATGATTTAAAGTAAAGTACATATAAAAAAAGGGAAAACTAAATTTTACGACTATTAAAAATTTAGTCCTCAGAATTTCTTTTCCTTTTTTTTTGTTCATGATTATATTTGTATACTTTATTTTTTGCCTTATTGAACGCTGAACGCAGATCATCTTTATATTGGCGAAGACTGTAATCGTCGTTTTTGAGTGCCTCTGAAAATAAAAACCATAACATATTAATATATTAAATATTAAAACAAATAATAAATTTATAAGAAGTAATGGGTCAAATATATTTAAAACAGAGAATTTAGAAAAATCTGTATAATTACCATACAGTAGGTTGGTGAAATTACTATAATGCATTAGGCCGACCTGTCCCATCTTTCCTGAATAATTCATTTTAAATAACAGGTCGTCTGAAAGAAGTCGTCTTAGACCAATTGTTATGCTTTCATCTCCGATCATGGTTTTTAACAAGCGTATCTGCAAAAAATAAACCTTTTATACTAAAATACAAATAAAATTATTTTGAAAACAAAATATTTTTTAAACAAATCAGTTTATACACAAATTAGCTGCATGAATTTAAAAAAATGTAATTACATAGTAACCCAGCGGGAAAGTGGGAAGTTGGTTTTTAGTTAACTGGAAATCCTGCTCCTTTTAGCAGGTAGCAGTGTGGGAATAGAAAATTTCCGACCGCTAAATGGGGTGGGTTTTTAAAAAATGACCTTAAGTTACAACGAAGTAATGACTTATTCTGCTAAGCCGGAAGGCCAAAAACCAGTGGATTTTGGCCTGCATTCAGCAGCCAGCGATCTACATAGAAACCTCCTTCCCCCTCACGTTTGGGTTTCACCCCCGTGTATTTTGAAACCAGAGACGGAATAAACGTAAGGATTGAATAAGGTTTTGTCCCTTTCGCTTGTATGAAGAAACCTCATGAAAATAACATATTTTGCAGACGTATTTTCCCGCTGGGCTATTGAAACTTATTATTATTATTGAAAAAAGTACATAAGTACTTACAAATTCTTCTGGATTAGTTTCGGCATCGGAGTCCAATTGTCCGAGTTCTGCAAATGTAGAAATCGGAAATGTCCGCTTGCGCACGTTCATATTTCCCGTTAATATTGACATTTGGGCCAGAATCTTTGATGTTGAATCTTTTACCAATTCTAAAAAAAAACATTTGATTTTTCTTGAAAATTGAAAAATAAATTTAAATAAAATACTTACTTTCCAAATTATTAATTTTCTGCTCGAGCTTTAGAAATCCAGCGCGAATCTCTTGAGTTTCTGAAGGATAGCTAACAAATTCTGGAGTCCCTAAATTTTCACTACAAGTGTCCTGCTGCATTAAATGGGTTGTATTCATTTTTGTGTCCGGATGCCTAAATCCTGCACGAATTTCGTTCTTTGAATCTTGGGATCCTGGATAACTAACAAATTCCGGAAAACCTATATTTTCACTTAAAGGGTCTTGCTGAATTAAATGGGTAGTATTCATTTTTGTGTCCTGATGCCTGCCAGCTGCCTGCAATAATCCTGCACGATTATTAGCCCTGCGGTATTTACTTGACTGAGATGTACCACTCATTTTATTACTTACTTCTTTAAAACACAAACAGAAATGTTTTGCACAAAATTTTATACTGATGTGACCGTGCGTCATATATTTGATAATACCAACATTCCGAAGAAAGACAATAATTGGTCACACCTTCGTTGTAGCTAAGGTCATACTTTGCCCGCGAACAAATATTTCGTTTAAATAATAATTTTCAGGGACCGTAATAATTAAAGGTTACGTATATTAAGAATTTTTCGCCAATTCGATTTCATTTCGGCATCTCAGCAAACGCTTTATTTACATAAATTCACAACTCCAAAAGATGGGTGGTTACACTTCAGTAAACAAATCGATTTAAATTTTAAAATAAATTCACGATCATATGAAATGCACACAACCATTTTTTCATGTCATAAAGCATATTTTTGTTTCAAAACGAACCGCGAGCATGATTTTCAAAATATATATAGAAATAACGGAAATAACATTATAACATCGTTGTTTTTCATCAGACAAGCATGATTTTTGGAATATAGAGTTTCCTAACGACTCTTGAATCAGGAATTAAATTTGTATATCATTTAGCTTCCATAATATAAGGAAAATTCTGTATTTTTTTTATGTTTTTATGTATTTTGTTCGACAAATTTGACTGCAAGGGTATATAAGCCGAAGCTAGCTTCCTTTCTTGTTTAATATCAAAAAATACAGCAAAAACCTTTCGTTTTCCAAAAGTCTTAACCATTATGTTCATTTTTTATATGTTTTAGCTATGACATAATGGAGAACTTACGATCATTTTTATATGTAAACAATCCAAAGACCCCAGTTTATTTTGGACAGAAGTTTCGAACTCATGTTAAGGAGGTAATATTTCCTTCTCTCCACTTCAGTGGTATCCAGATCCTCCGCAGTGGTACAAGCCACTGCTATATTATACAACTCCAAACGTAAGAATTCAAGTTTTCTACACAACTATTCTTGAATCATAAACTATCTCTACTTTCCGTAGGTCACCAACGATTGCTGCTCAAGTTCTACGTGCTGGAATACATAATCTATAAGCTAAAAATCTTTGGTGTCAGCAAGAGCCAGGATAATTTGTCAGCAATGAACTACATTTCTTCCAGCAAGCAATTATGGACCACTTTTCACAAAAAAAAAACAGAGCTTGGAAAAACTGCCCTCAATAAAATTTGGTCGGAGGAAAATGCCACAAGCTCAAATGTGGAAATTAAGTCAAAGCTCAAGATGTAATCCTGCTTTGATTTATTTTTAAGATTCTATTGACTGCAATATAAAATGCCAAAGAGTAATGCCATTTTTCTTAGAAACGTTATCATTTAAATCATGTAGGTATATTATAATTTATAAAACACAATTGTTAAAATCGATCTATAAACCATACTGCTCTCTCAGTAATCTTTTTTTTCTTGAAACTTTTAAGGGAGGATGATCAGCGATTATTCCGAAGGGTCGGGATTTATACAAAATAGTTTCCAGAAAGTGCATTTCGTAGGGCGATACGTTATGCAGTGAAATCAAATAGGTGGAGCAGCATTGCATTCCCTGAAAGTAAGCCAGAGTTAATATTTTTAACATATGTACTCAAAGCAACCAAATTTATTACCGTTCCAGCCGAGTGGAAGAGATATTTGCCCAGCCAAAAGTCATCTCCGTCGCGACTTGGTATTAAAAAGTGTTCCAGGGAAAGCGAAAAAAAGCGATGTCGACCGTAAAGATCTCGGGAGTCGCCGGCTTTGACCTTCAGTATGCGTAGGTACTTGCCCATCTCGAAGTCTTCGGTTCCTCGATCGCCTGGTTGGCACTTCTTAGCTGCTCCTCTGACCAACAGCTCCACTGCCCTTTTGCTGAGCACATAGCCAGCTCCACCGGACATGTAAACCCGGGAAGCCAACTTGAATGCCGAGCCAAAGTAAATCGGAGTCTTAGAGGAGTGGGGATGAAGCAACTGCCGCATATTCTCCATCACCGCGTAGGTATCGTCATCCGCCATTCCGCCTCGTGGCCGTAATTCCTGTAGGCATGGCCAAAAGCGGCCTTGGTCTTCCCCAAAGATTGCTTCGAGAGTCGCTGATGTTCAGGCCCACAATCTCCACTCCAGATGGAGTGGTTAGCGAGGAGCTGCCGTAGAACACCACTCGATTGCAGTGGGTTCCCCACGTTTGGCTAATTGCCCTCACACCACTCATGTACTTTTTGGGCCAGGTCTACACCAAGCAGATTATCCTCACCGATCGGAACATAAGCCTGGCCAGGCGATTGTTTAATGGTCGGTGGGTTATTGTCGTGGGAAGAGTGGGAGATATGAGTTCTGGCAGGGGATTCACAGGGTCGGAGGTGATAGAGTAGGAACTCCAGCACATGCATTTGCACGTCACGGCAATATGGATACAGGATTGCTCCACCGAAACAGCTTTCCCAGCTCTAAAAGAATATTAATTAAATATATCTAACACTTGCCCATAGGATCTCACCTGGTTTTTGTAGACAGCTTGGAATGCGCAGGGCCAAAGCCAGAAGTTAAGTCGCAAAGTGAAGGGAATCACTATTTTCGATACCTTGAAGGGCTGAAGTCCTTCGCTGGCAACCCTTTTCATCCTTTTGAGGCACTCCCTGAGGAAGATTTCATCCTGCAGGCAGTTCCTGGTGGCCAGCTGCTCCAATGCCCCGCTGCTAAATATAAAATCTGTGTATAGATATATGTAGAAGTCATGCTGGGCCTCGATGTCCGGAACGTCACCAATCTCTTCAATGAGACACGTGTCCTTTGCATGGTGCTAACCAGCCCGAAGACCCACCAAAGTCGCGCCATCCACATCCAGAGAACCTGGGGAGCGCGCTGCAACAAGCTGATCTTCATGAGCACCAAGGCGGACAAGCAACTGGGAGCCGTGGCCTTGAAAGTCAGGGAGGGCTACTCGAATCTGTGGCCCAAGATCAGAGCATCGCTGCAGTACGTCTACAAGCACCACTTCCAGAACTACGACTGGTTTCTAAAGGCTGACGATGACACGTGAGTGGAACTAACCATTTAATAAACATATTATATCATAAAAACATTGTTTATCAACTCCCCTTTTCCCATGAGATCATTAAATATAATTGTAAAACAATTACATTTTCTGTAAAGCTTTTCATACCCTTGCAGAGCAAAAGGGAATTATAATTTGTTTGCAACGCAGACCCCACAAAGTATACATTTTCTTGATCAGCATCACGATCTGAATTGAAATTCGTCTGTCCGTCTGTCCGTTTCTCATTAAACTAGTCTCTCAGTTTTTAAGCTATCTTGCTGAAACTTTCCCAAACGTTGTGTTGTGATTGCACGAAGTATATACATAAGTCGGAACGGGCCGAATCGGCTGACTATATCGAATAGCTTCCATACGAGAGAATGCCGTTGTTTTTGATCAGATCGACTTGATTTCTTCCATCGGAAAACTATATCATATAGCTGCCATATGAACAATAGCCGAAAATATATGGAAAACTAATAGAAAAATCGTCATAGCTTCGATGTTGTTTAGTTTTTATGTATTTTGTTCGGCAAATTTGATGACTGCAAGGGTATATAAGCTTCGGCTTCGAAGCTAGCTTCCTTCCTTGTTTTATTTGCAAAACGAACCGTTGATGTCGCAAACACATTTAAAGCTGGAATATACTATACTATACTGGAATATATTAGATGTATTTCAAGCTATAAGCTGGATGGAAAATTAACAAGCTTTTCTCGTGAAAAGCTCATTTGTTACATTTGATTAAGAGGTACATATTAGAGACGTATGCTATATGATAAATCTGACCGATCTGGTCAGTCGTTCGAGAGTCCCGAGGCGTGCGGTTATCTTAAAAATGAGCGGAAGAATTGTGGAAGCTTCTAAAAGTGGTGGGGAGAAGGAACAATCCAGTGATGGGGAAAAACCTCTACCAGGCAGATCGGAAGATAATCGATGTGCTGGCACAACAAGAAAAAGTGATTCAGATGCTTGTGTTCCGGGAACAAAGCTTCGCCAAGTCGCAGTCGAAAATTCTTTGGCTTCAGTACCAATTTCCCAGGGAAATGAAGAGAAAAACCCAGCTGCATCTTTGGCTCCGAAAATACCCGAAATCTTTTTACTGAACACCTACTGTTGGGAAGGCGTTTTGTCATATTTGAGCGTGCGTGACCAACTGAGACTGGCTGCATCAAGTCCGCATCTTAAATCACTTTTCGAAACTATAAGTCTGAAATACAAGCAAATCACAAGAAGCGTCACAGCAGATTTAAGCCTAAAGGAGCTCTCTCAATTGCTGGAAATCGTTAATGAGAATGTGAATAGCTTTGAGTCACATCATTTCGATTTGATCAACTATAAGTCACCTCATTTCGATGTGTTCACCTATGAGTCACCTGAAATCTATGGAGAGCGGAGCTTATGGCTTTTGCGGACCTTTTGTACACGATTGCAGCACTTGAAAATGATTATCGTACGGCCGAGATGGAATGATCTGTTACAGTTGAAGAGTCTTACATCCCTGCACGTCCAACTTCAATTCTCGAGGGCAGAGATGTGCATGAATTTTGTTCTTAGCCTAGTGGAACTGCCCTGCCTCCGGAAACTGAACTTAGAGGCAGAAAACTATAGTGGAGATGGTCTGCATGTGCTGGAGAAATTAGAATCACTGGCGATTGGTGCTTATCCAGGAATAAATGCCGAGTGTTTGGGCACGGCCTGCCTGAAAATGAAACAACTCCGCCACCTAGACATGGGAAAATGCATTGAAAATCTCACCGGGGACAACTTAAGGGTAATTGTGAGAAACTGTCGAAATCTGGAGAGTTTACTCTTAAACACAGTGATGGATAGAAATGTGCCCTATGAAATCGTGTGCCAGTTGCCCAAACTGAAGTACTTGCAAATTTGGCCTCTTGGCTTTCTGAGGGCAGGTTTCATCGAGGGACTGATTCACAAAACAGACACTCCGCTGGAAAGCCTCATTTTGAAGGGAGACGTCTTGCGTGCCGAACAGGTGGAGCATATCTGCGAGATTTCCTCGCTAAGGGAACTTTTCTTGGGGTGCGAGAGTATTCCCTTGAGTGGCCTGCTTAAACTAAGGAACTTGGAAATTCTGAACCTGACAACGAGCGAAATTACCAACCACCAACTGTTGACGATCCTCGAAGGCTGTCCGCTAATCAGAGTGGTCGGTCTGGATGCTCGAATACTGATCAACTCAGATTTTGTTCGAGATGCCACTCGATTGTTTGGATCCCGAAAACTCAAGATCTATCTATTTGATCCATCAGTTTTTCGAAACTTTAATAGAATTTTTAAAGGAAATAGGTTTATTCAATTCGAATACGATTTTTTGGAAAAGCCTTTCTTGATTAACGAATCATTGAGCACTGGACTTAAAAGCACATTACTGCTCAATAACAGTTTTGAATTTATTTCTAAGAAATCAGCAAAAAGCCAAATAAATCCCCATTATTAAACTACAACACCATTACGACTCTCAATTTGAACGCCTAGACCCACACAAAAATCTTTTTTTTTTTTGCAAAATGCCCGAAACTGGAATTTTTAATTAGGCAAATGACATTTTGATTACCAAAAAGCCAGCCAACTAACAGAATCCTTACCATCGTGTAAACTTAAATTCTATATATCGAGAAGTGTTTTAATAGGACTTAAATTTGAAAATTCTTTGCGAATCGCTTAATCTTAATCTTTGATCAGATCGACTTGATTTCTTCCAGATAGCGTTTTCTAACTACTATTGACTTTGGATGCCAGATTTGCCATATGAACAATAATCGAAAATATGGAAAATTAATAGAAAACTCGTCATAGTTTTGATGTTGTTTAGTTTTTATGTATTTTGTTCGAAAAATTTGATGACTGCTAGGGTATATAAGCCGAAGCTAGCTTCCTTTCTTGTTTAATATCAAAAAATACAGCAAAAACCTTTCGTTTTCCAACAATCTTAATCTCATAATAGAGAACTTGCGATCCTTTTTATATGTAAACAATCCAAAGACCCCAGTTTATTTTGGACAGAAGTTTCGAACTCATGTTAAAGAGGTAATATTTTTTATTTTTTGCTGTTGATGCTTGATCGCAAATCAATCTTCATTTTTATTTACATAAAAATGATTGCTGCCTGAAGCATTAAAGTTAAATGCCAAAAAGTGTACTGCACTTTTGGTTATAGACACTGTAAACCAAGTAATGGATGGAATGGAATTAATTTCAGGGTTCTGAGCAAAATGGCCCTGCACCGATTTATGAAGTTCGGATTTGGCAACGGCAGCGTTTGCAGCAGTAAGACCTACGGCTACGAGGACGTGGAACTCGGAAGATGTCTGGCGGCGGTGGGCGTGGTGGGCGGAGATTCCAGGGACGAACTTGGATTGGCGCGTTTTGTGCCCTTCTCTCCACTTCAGTGGTATCCAGATCCTCCGCAGTGGTACAAGCCACTGCTATATTATACAACTCCAAACGTAAGAATTCAAGTTTTCTACAGAATCATAAACTATCTCCATTTCCCGTAGGTCACCAACGATTGCTGCTCGAATTCTGCCATATCCTTTCACTACAACAACGCCAAGGAGTTCTATGTGCTGGAATACATAATCTATAAACTAAAAATCTTTGGTATCAGCAAAAGCCAGGATAAATTGCCAGCAATGACACCCATTTCTTGGACCACTTTTCACAACAAAAAAACAGAGCTTGGAAAAACGGCCCTCAATGAAATTTGGTCGGAGAAAAATGCCATAAGCTCAAATGTGGAAACTAAGCCGAAGTTCAAGACGTAATCTTGCTTTAATTAATTATTAAGGTTCTATTGACTGCAATATAAAATGCCAAAGAGTAATGCCATTTTTCTTAGAAACGTTATCAATTAAATCATGTATATTATAAAACATAATTGTTAAAATCTATCTATAAACCATACTGCTCTCTCCATAATCTCTTTTTTCTTGAAACCTTTAAGGGAGGATGATTAGCGATTACTCCGAAGGGTCGGGATTTATACAAAAAGGTTTCCAGAAAGTGCATTTCGTAGGGCGAGACGTTGTGCATTGAAATCGAATATGTGGAGCAGCATTCGATTCCCTGAAAGTAAAGTAGATTTCATATTTTTTAATTACTCAACAGCAACCAAAGTTAATACCGTTCCAGCCGAGTGGAAGAGATATTTGCCCAGCCAAAAGTCCTCTCCGTCACGACTTGGTATTAGAAAGTGTTCCAGGGAAAGCGAAAAAAAGCGATGTCGACCGTAAAGATCTCGGGAGTCGCCGGCTTTGACCTTCAGTATGCGTAGGCACTTGCCCATCTCGAAGTCTTCGGTTCCTCGATCGCCTGGTTGGCACTTCTTAGCTGCTCCTCTGACCAACAGCTCCACTGCCCTTTTGCTGAGCACATAGCCAGCTCCACCGGACATGTAAACCCGGGAAGCCAACTTGAATGCCGAGCCAAAGTAAATCGGAGTTTCAGGGGAATGGGAATGAAGCAACTGCCGCATATTCTCCATCACAGCGTAGGTATCGTCATCCGCCTTGAAGAACCACTCCGCCTCGTGGCCATAATTCCTGTAGGCATGGCCAAAAGCGGCCTTGGTCTTGCCCCAAAGATTGCTGCGAGAGTCGCTGATGTTCAGGCCCACAATCTCCACTCCAGATGGAGTGGTTTCGGAGGAGCTGCCGTAGAACACCACTCGATTGCAGTGGGTTCCCCAGGTTTGGCTGATTGCCCTCACGCCACTCATGTAGTTTTTGGGCCAGGTCAACACCATGCAGATTATCCTCACCGATCGGAACATAAGCCTGGCCAGGCGATCGTTTAATGGTCGGTGGGTTATTGTCGTGGGAAGAGTGGGAGATCTGAGTTCTGGCAGGGGATTCACATGGCCAAAGGGTCGGAGGTGATAGAGTAGGAACTCCAGCACATGCATTTGCACGTCACGGCAATATGGATACAGGATTGCTCCACCGAAACAGCTTTTCCAGCTCTAAAAGAATATTAATTAAATATATCTTACACTTTCCCTTAGGATCTCACCTGGTTTTTATAGACAGCTTGGAATGCGCAGGGCCAAAGCCAGAAGTTAAGTCGCAAAGTGAAGGGAATTACCATTTCCGATACTTCAAATGGCTGAAGTCCTTCGCTGGCAACCCTTTTCATCCTTTTGAGGCACTCCCTGAGGAAGATTTCATCCTGCAGGCAGTTCCTGGTGGCCAGCTGCTCCAATGCCTCGCTGCTAAATATAAAATCTGTGTATAGATGTATGTAGAAGTCATGCTGGGCCTCGATGTCCGGAACGTCACCAATCTCTTCAATCAGACACTATCCTTTGCATAGTGCTAACCAGCCCGAAGACCCACCAAAGTCGCGCCATCCACATCCAGAGAACCTGGGGAACGCGCTGCAACAAGCTGATCTTCATGAGCACCAAGGCGGACAAGCAACTGGGAGCCGTGGCCTTGAAAGTCAGGGAGGGCTACTCGAATCTGTGGCCCAAGATCAGAGCATCGCTGCAGTACGTCTACAAGCACCACTTCCAGAACTACGACTGGTTTCTAAAGGCTGACGATGACACGTGAGTGGAACTAACCATTTAATAAACATATTATATCATAAAAACATTCTTTATCAACTCCCCTTTTCCCATGAGATCATTAAATATAATTGTAAAACAATTACATTTTCTGTAAAGCTTTTTATACCCTTGCAGAGCAAAAGGGAATTATAATTTGTTTGCAACGCAGACCCCATACAGTATACATTTTCTTGATCAGCATCACGATCTGAATTGAAATATGTACGTCTGTCCGTCTGTCCGTTTCTCATTAAACTAGTCTCTCAGTTTTTAAGCTATCTTGCTGAAACTTTCCCAACAGTTGTGTTGTGATTGCACGCAGTATATACATAAGTCGGAACGGGCCGAATCGGCTGACTATATCGAATAGCTCCCATACGAGAGAATGCCGTTGTTTTTGATCAGATCGACTTGATTTCTTCCATCGGAAAACTATATCATATAGCTGCCATATGAACAATAGCCGAAAATATATGGAAAACTAATAGAAAAATCGTCATAGCTTCGATGTTGTTTGGTTTTTATGTATTTTGTTCGACAAACTTGATGACTGCAAGGGTATATAAGCTTCGGCTTCGAAGCTAGCTTCCTTTCTTGTTTTATTTGCAAAACGAACCGTTGATGTCGCAAACATATTTAAAGCTGGAATATACTATACTATACTGGAATATATTAGATGTATTTCAAGCTATAAGCTGGATGCAAAATTAACAAGCTTTTCTCGTGAAAAGCTCATTTGTTACATTTGATTAAGAGGTACATACATATTAGAGACGTATGCTATACCAAAGAATTTTTACTTTAAATAATTGTTCAATTAAATAATCATTTTACACTTGTTCATTTAATTTGTTTGATCCATTCGTTTCCTACCAAAAGTTAATATTTTCCAATTTGAATCAAGAGGTATCTAGAAGTTGAGTTGAATACTTTTTTGTGTTTTTTGCTCTAACTTATTAATGGCAAATGATAAATCTGACCGATCTGGTCAGTCGTTCGCGAATTCCGAGGCGTGTGGTTATAAAAAATGAGCGGAAGAATTGGCGAAGCTTCTGAAAGTGGTGTGGAGAACGAACAAACGAGTGATGGGGAAAAACCTCTCCAGACAGCACGAGAAGAAATGATTCAGAAGCTTGTGAAAGTGTTCCGGGAACAAAGCGTCGCGAAATTACAGTCGAAAACTCTTCGGTTTTAGAACCAATCTCCCATGAAAATGAGGAGAAAAACCCAGCTGGATCTTTGGCTCCGAAAACAGCCGGAATCTTTTTACTGAACACCTACTGCTGGGAAAGAGTTTTGTCACATTTGAGCTTGGGTGACCAACTGAGTCTTGCTGCATCAAGTCCGCATCTTAAATCACTCTTCGAAACTTTAAGTCTGAAATACAAACGAATTACAGAAAGCATCACAGCGGAATTAAGCGAAAACGAGCTCTCTCAATTGCTGGAAATCGTTAATGAGAATGTGATCAGCTTTGAGTCACCGCTGGGTCCTCCTACCGATGGAGATCGGGATTTGTCGCTTTTGCGGCTTTTGCGGACCTTTTGTCCACGTTTGCAACACTTGAAAATTACTATTGAACGGCCAAGACGGAATGATCTGTTACAGTTGAAGAGTCTTACATCCCTGCACGTCTATCTTCAATTCTCGAGTGCAGAGGTGTGCAGGAATTTTATTCTTAGCCTAGTGGACCTGCCCTGCCTCCGGAAACTGAACTTGGAGACAAGAAACTATAGAGGAGATGGTCTGCATGTGCTGGAGAATTTAGAATCACTCGTGCTTCGCGATTCAACAGGAATAAATCCTGAGTGTTTGGTCATGGCCTGCCTGAAAATGAAACAGCTCCGCCATCTAGACATTGAGGAATTCATTGAAACACCCACCGCGGACAACTTTAGGGTAATAGTGAACAATTGTGGCAATCTGGAGAGTTTACTCTTAGGCCGACCGTTGGCTGAAAAAAATGTGCCCTATGAAATCCTGTGTCAGTTGCCCAAATTGAAGCACTTGCAAATTTGGCCCTCTGGCTTTCTGAGGGCGGGTTTCATCGAGGGACTGATCCACAAAACGGGCACTCCGCTGGAAAGCCTCATTTTGTGGGGAGTCGACTTGAATGCCGAACAGGTGGAGCATCTCTGTGAGATTTCCTCGCTAAGGGAACTTTCCATCCGCTGCGATAGTGTTCCATTGAGTGACCTGCTTAAACTAAGAAACTTGGAAATTCTGGAACTGAGAACGAGTGAAATTACCAACCACCAATTGTTGACGATCCTCGAAGGCTGTCCGCTAATCAGAGTGCTCGGTCTGTATGCTCAAAAGTTGATCAACTCAGATTTTGTTCGAGATGCCACTCGATTGTTTGGATGCCGAAAAATCAAGATCTATCTATGTGGTCAATTTGTGACTTCAAACTTAATAGAAACTTTAAATGAAAATAGGTTTATTCAATTCGAATACGGTTTTTTGAAAAAGCCTTTCTTGATTAACAATTAATTGAGCACTGGGCTTAAAAGCACCGTACTTATGAAGGAGATTTAAAACTCTTTCTAAGAAATCAATAAAAAGCCAATTAAACGACACAATCATTACGACTTTTAATTTGAATGCATAGACCCACACAAAAATCTTTTTTGTATTTGCAAAATGCCCGAAAGTGGAATTTTTAATTAGGCAAATGGCATTTTGATTAACGAAAAGCAAGCCAACTAACAGGATCACTAACATCGTGGAAGCTTTAATAGGACTTAAATTTGAAAACAACTGCATTCCTTGCGAATTGCTTAATCTTAATTAAGCCGCTAAAGATAAAAGGGTATTAAAATTTCAGTCAGAAGTTTGCAACACAGGGAAGCAGTCACCTTAGACTCCATAAAGTACATATATCTTGATCAGCATCACGATCTGAATTGAAATACGTCTGACCGTTTCTCTTTAAGGGGACGTTCTCTTTGTTTTGGTCGAAATGAAGGCAAAGTTCGTAAATTTTTTGTGGGATAATGAAAAGGCGTACGAACTTCGGGTTTTGCTTTTTCCGATTATATCGGATAGCTCCCATACGAGAGAATGCCGTTGTTTTTGATCAGATCGACTTGATTTCTTCCAGATGACGTTTTTTAACTACTATTGAATTTCGATTAAATTTTATTTAGGAAAGATCAAAAAATATATATAAATAATGGAAAAAAATTATACCGCCGTTGTTTTTAATCAGGCAAGCTTAATTTTTGGAATATGGACTTTTCTAAGCCCCATGCACAAAAGCTCTATCCTCGTTTTAATCGCACTTACTAACTCTTACTTACTCTCACTCGCACTTGTTGTGAGAATGATTAACGGATGCTTTTTGTCAACGAGACTACCTTGTTGTAGCATGAATTGTACCATGGGTCGATCTGGTCAGTCGTTCGCGAATCCCGAGGCGTGTGATTATCGAAAATGAGCGGAAGAATCGTCGAAGCTTCTGAAAGTGGTGGAGATAAGGAGCAAACGAGTGATGGGGAAAAAGCTTTATCAAAAAGAAGAAGAATTGAGTCAGAAGATTGTGAAGATGTTTGGGGAATAAAACGTCGCAAAATTACAGTCGAAAACTCTTCGGTTTTAGAACTAATCTCCCAGGGAAATGAGGAGAAAAACCCAGCTGGATCTTTGGCTCCGAAAACACCCGAAATCTTTTTACTGAACACCTACTGTTGGAAAGGCGTTTTATCATATTTGAGCTTGGGTGACCAACTGAGACTGGCTGCATCAAGCCCGCATCTTAAATCACTTTTCGAAACTATAAGTCTGAAATACAAGCAAATCACAAGAAGCGTCACAGCAGATTTAAGCGAAAAGGAGCTCTCTCAATTGCTGGAAATCGTTAATGAGAATGTGATCAGCTATGAGTCACCATATTACGATGGAGATCGGAATTTGTGGCGTTTGCGGACTTTTTGTCCACGATTGCAGCACTTAAAAATGGCTTTTTCTCGACCCAGATGGAATGATCTCTTACAGTTGAAGAGTCTTACATCCCTGCACGTCTGTCTTCAATTCTCGAGGGCAGAGATGTGCAGGAATTTTGTTCTTAGCCTAGTGGACCTGCCCTGCCTCCGGAAACTGAACTTAGAGGCATATGACTACAGTGGAGATGATCTGCATGTGCTGGAGAATTTAGAATCACTGGTGATTCGGGGTTTTCTAGGAATAAATCCTGAGTGTTTTGCTATGGCCTGCCTGAAAATGAAACAGCTCCGCCACCTAGACATTGAAAAATTCAATGAACCACCCACCGCGGAACACTTTAGGGTAATTGGTAAAAACTGTTGTAATCTGGAGAGTCTATCCTTCAGCAGAGAAATGATAAAAGAAAATGTGCCCTATGAAATCGTGTGTCAGTTGCCCAAACTGAAGCACTTGCAAATTTGTCACTGTGGCTTTCTGAGGGCGGGTTTCATCGAGGGACTGATCCACAAAACAGAAACTCCGCTGGAAAGCCTCATTTTGTTGGGAGACGTCTTGTACGCCGAACAGTTGGAGCATCTCTGCGAGATTTCCTCGCTAAGGGAACTTTTCTTGGGGTGCGAGAGTATTCCCTTGAGTGGCCTGCTTAAACTAAGAAACTTGGAAATTCTGAACCTGACTACGAGTGAAATTACCAATCACCAACTGTTGACGATCCTCGAAGGCTGTCCGCTTATCAGAGTGCTCGGTCTGTATGCTCGAATATTGCTCAACTCTGATTTTGTTCGAAATGCAACTCGATTGTTTGGATGCCGAAAAATCAAGATCTATCTACGTGGTCCATCTGTTAATCGGAATTTTATAGGAACTTTAAATGGAAATAGGTTTATTCAATTCGAACACGGTTTTTTGAAAAAGCCTTTACTGATTAACAATTAATTGAGCACTGGACTTAAAAGCACATTATTTATTGAGCAGTTTTAAAGTTATTTCTAAGAAATCAGCGAAAAAGCCAAAAAGGTAAGGTATTAAAGGCCAAAAAAGGGCTATATATGTTTTTTTTGCGGCGAAATGAGTAATTTTATTTTATTAAGCTTAATTACATTCTATTATTCAACATTTGAAGAAAAAATTATTAAAAAATATTTAGAAATAAGCTTATGGCTGTTAGTCTGCCGAAGCGCCTAAAAAAAAAGTTGTTTTGCGGTGAACATCATAACTCGTTAACGAAGTATCTTTAAAAAAAAAGTGATATACGCAGTAAAGATAATGAATTTCCCGAGGTAATCAAGAAGAGGTTTTCGTGTACTTGAAAGTCAAAAGTGCGATTTTAACTTTAAAAATCTATGTTCACTTATTTTTTTTTTTTATAGAAAAAAATTAAAAATTAAAAAAAACTCTTCCTGATTACCTGCGTATTTATGTGGAGAATTTGTTTTAAAAATTTGAAAAGGATCGGTGCATTACACTTTGAGTTCTGATGTCCACAGACTTTCAAAATAACGTTGTCGGGAAATTCGATTTAAAGTATTTTTATACGTCAAAATACGTCAAAATTCGGTCGTCTAAAACGCTGTAACTTCGTTAGTTTGACTCTAATTGACTCAACATTTTTACACAATGTTCTCAATATATTGGTCTTTTAGAAAAAAAAAAAAAAAAAAAGCAAAAATTAATTTTTTTAAACCTTATCCTCCCCTTAACGAAAAGCAAGCCAACTATCAGAATCATACACATCGTGTAAGCCTAAATTCTATATATCGAGGAGTGTTTTAGTAGAACTTAAATTTGGGAATAAATGCTTTCCTTGCGAATCGCTACTCCTAATTCAGCCGCTAAAGATACATAAAGGGTAATATATGTAATTTCAGTCGGAAGTATGCAACGCAGTGAAGGAGACACCTCAGACCCCATAAAGTATATTTATTCTTGATCAGCATCACGATCTGAATTGAAATACGTCTTCCCCTCTGTCTGTCTGTTCATCTATCCGTCTGTCTATTTCTATGTAAACTAGTCTCTCAGTTTTAAAGCTATCCTGCTGAAACTTACCCAAAAGTTGTGTTGTGAGAATGCCGTTGTTTTTGATCAGATCGATTTGATTTCTTCCAGATGGCGTTTTCTAACTACTATTGAACTTTGGATTAAATTGAATTAAAATCGGACAACTATATCATATAGCTGCCATACGAACAATAGTCGAAAATATGTTAAATTAATAGAAAAATCATCATAGCTTTGATGTTGTTTAGGGGAGGGTGGTCCCATACCGACCCCCTAAAAGGCAAAGGCGATAAAGGTGGGAAAAATCAATTTTTCAGTTCAGTTCAAAAATTTATTATGTAGAGGGATCAGTTTACTATACATCTAAATGATTAGTAAGTGCGTAGGTGCTTTGAAGCGTTAGATATTCAGGCAAATATAAAACTCTACTTTTTGGTCGTACTCAAAAGTAGTGGTCCGAAACCGACCCCCTATTTCTTAACAGAAAAATTTAATAACATAAAATAGAATTTAATGATTTTGACGTTTATTAAGAAATATATTGAAGGTTCTTTCCAGAAAATACAAATTAATGTATGAAATAAAGGGCAATGTAGTCAATTGATGAAGTCTGAGTTGTCCTCTTTCTCATAGTAAGTTTTCGCGTTGTTTTTCGAAAGCCGCTCGTTGATGACTGTCTCTTCGCTTTCTTCTGATGTGTTTTGATGTTTCTGTTACTTTTCTTTACTGAATCTTGTTTACTTTTTCATATTTTCCCTCAAAAATACGCTATGACATATTAAGCTGCCAATAAATGGGGGTCGGTTTCAGACCATCACCTAGCGGTCGGTTTCGGACCACCACGACCTTTTCTGATTAACTCCTCGGAATTAACTAAAGACGCAAAGAGCGATGTAATTCTAATTATGTAAGTGAAAGCTAGGACTATCAACGATCAGAAAAATTTACTCTCCGATTTTTATGCGGAGAAAAAAAAATTTAAGCTCAAGTTCAGTAAAGCTCAAAAATAAATGTCACAGGCGTTGAAACAAAACAAACGGAAAAATTGCAGTGAAACAAAATAAGTCAAAGGGGCTATCTATCTCCAAAATGTCTGTGTTATAACAGCTTTTCACTGAAGTTACCGACAATTCGGCTAGCATCGCCATCTCTGAGAAACATGGGGGGTCGGTATGGTACGACCGGTCGGTATGGGACCACCCTCCCCTACTTTTTATGTATTTTGTTCGATTTTTGATGAATTTGATGAATCCCGTCATCAAATATGGTATATGGGACGAAGTTAGCTTCCTTTCTTGTTTAATATCAAAAAATACAGCAAAAGCCTTTCGTTTTCCTGCAGTCTTAACCATAATGTTCCTTTTTTATTTATTTTAGCTATGTCATAATGGAGAACTTACGATACTTTTTATATGTAAACAATCCTAAGAGCCCAGTATACTTTGGACAGAAGTTTCGAACTCATATTAAAGAGGTAATAAAATGATTGCTGCATTAGACACTGTAAGCCAAGTAATGGATTGAATTCATTTCAGGGATATATGTCGGGAGGAGCGGGCTACGTTCTGAGCAAAATGGCCCTGCACCGATTTATGAAGTTCGGATTTGGCAACGGCAGCATTTGCAGCAGTAAGACCTACGGCTACGAGGACGTGGAACTCGGAAGATGTCTGGCGGCGGTGGGCGTGGTGGGCGATGACTCCAAGGACGAGCTCGGATTGGCGCGTTTTGTGCCCTTCTCTCCACTTCAGTGGTATCCAGATCCCCCGCAGTGGTACAAGCCATTGCTATATTATACAACTCCAAACGTAAGAATTCAAGTTTTCTACACAACTATTCTTGAATCCTAAACTATCCTCATTTCCCGTAGGTCACCAACGATTGCTGCTCGAATTCTGCCATATCCTTTCACTACAACAACGCCAAGGAGTTCTATGTGCTGGAATACATAATCTATAAGCTAAAAATCTTTGGTGTCAGCAAGAGCCAGGATAATTTGCTAACAATGAACTCCATTTCTATCAACAAGCAGTCGTGGACCACTTTTCACAACAAAAAAACAGAGCTTGGAAAATCGGCCCTCAATAAAATTTGGTCGGAGGAAAATGCCACAAGCTCGAATGTTGAAATTAAGTCAAAGCTCAAGTTGTAATCTTGCTTTGATTTATTTTTAAGATTCTATTGACTGCAATATAAAATGCCAAAGAGTAATGCCATTTTTCTTAGAAACGTTATCAATTAAATCATGTATATTATAAAACATAATAAATGTTTAAATCGATCTATAAACCATACTGCTCTCTCAGTAATCTCATTTTTCTTGAAACTTTTAAGGGAGGATGATCAGCGATTACTCCGAAGGGTCGGGATTTATACAAAATAGTTTCCAGAAAGTGCATTTCGTAGGGCGATACGTTGTGCATTGAAATCAAATAGGTGGAGCAGCATTCCATTCCCTGAAAGTAAAGTAGATTTCATATTTTTTAAATTACTCAACAGCAACCACAGTTAATACCGTTCCAGCCGAGTGATAGAGATATTTGCCCAGCCAAAAGTCCTCTTCGCCACGACTTGGTATTAAAAAGTGTTCCAAGGAAAGCGAAAAAAAGCGATGTCGACCGTAAAGATCTCGGGAGTCGCCGGCTTTGACCTTCAGTATGCGTAGGCACTTGCCCATCTCGAAGTCTTCGGTTCCTCGATCGCCTGGTTGGCACTTCTTAGCTGCTCCTCTGACCAACAGCTCCACTGCCCTTTTGCTGAGCACATAGCCAGCTCCACCGGACATGTAAACCTGGGAGGCCAACTTGAATGCCGAGCCAAAGTAAATCGGAGTTTCAGGGGAATGGGAATGAAGCAACTGCCGCATATTCTCCATCACCGCGTAGGTATCGTCATCCGCCTTGAAGAACCACTCCGCCTCGTGGGCGTAATTCCTGTAAGCATGGCCAAAAGCGGCCTTGGTCTTGCCCCAAAGATTGCTGCGAGAGTCGCTGATGTTCAGGCCCACAATCTCCACTCCAGAAGGAGTGGTTTTGGAGGAGCTGCCGTAGAACACCACTCGATTGCAGTGGGTTCCCCACGTTTGGCCAATTGCCACCACGCCACTAATGTAGTTTTTGGGCCAGGTTAAGACCAAGCAGATTATCCTCACCGACCGGAACATAAGCCTGGCCAGGCGATCGTTTAATGGTCGGTGGGTTATTGTCGTGGGAAGAGTGGGAGATCTGAGTTCTGGCAGGGGATTCACATGGCCAAAGGGTCGGAGGTGATAGAGTAGGAACTCCAGCACATGCATTTGCACGTCACGGCAATATGGATACAGGATTGCTCCACCGAAACAGCTTTCCCAGCTCTAAAAGAATATTTATTAAATATATCTTACACTTTCCCTTAGGATCTCACCTGGTTTTTGTAGACAGCTTGGAATGCGCAGGGCCACAGCCAGAAATTAAGGCGCAAAGTGAAGGGAATCACCATTTCCGACACTTTAAAGGGCTGAAGTCCTTCGCTGGAAGCCCTTTTCATCCTTTTCAGGCACTCCCTGAGGAAGATTTCATCCTGCAGGCAGTTCCTGGTGGCCAGCTGCTCCAATGCTCCGCTGCTAAATATAAAATCTGTGTATAGATGTATGTAGAAGTCATGCCTCGATGTCCGGAACGTCCCCAATCTCTTCAATGAGACACGGGTCCTTTGCATAGTGCTAACCAGCCCGAAGACCCACCAAAGTCGCGCCATCCACATCCAGAGAACCTGGGGAGCGCGCTGCAACAAGCTGATCTTCATGAGCACCAAGGCGGACAAGCAACTGGGAGCCGTGGCCTTGAAAGTCAGGGAGGGCTACTCGAATCTGTGGCCCAAGATCAGAGCATCGCTGCAGTACGTCTACAAGCACCACTTCCAGAACTACGACTGGTTTCTAAAGGCTGACGATGACACGTGAGTGGAACTAACCATTTAATAAACATATTATATCATAAAAACATTCTTTATCAACTCCCCTTTTCCCATGAGATCATTAAATATAATTGTAAAACAATTACATTTTCTGTAAAGCTTTTTATACCCTTGCAGAGCAAAAGGGAATTATAATTTGTTTGCAACGCAGACCCCATACAGTATACATTTTCTTGATCAGCATCACGATCTGAATTGAAATATGTACGTCTGTCCGTCTGTCCGTTTCTCATTAAACTAGTCTCTCAGTTTTTAAGCTATCTTGCTGAAACTTTCCCAACAGTTGTGTTGTGATTGCACGCAGTATATACATAAGTCGGAACGGGCCGAATCGGCTGACTATATCGAATAGCTCCCATACGAGAGAATGCCGTTGTTTTTGATCAGATCGACTTGATTTCTTCCATCGGAAAACTATATCATATAGCTGCCATATGAACAATAGCCGAAAATATATGGAAAACTAATAGAAAAATCGTCATAGCTTCGATGTTGTTTGGTTTTTATGTATTTTGTTCGACAAACTTGATGACTGCAAGGGTATATAAGCTTCGGCTTCGAAGCTAGCTTCCTTTCTTGTTTTATTTGCAAAACGAACCGTTGATGTCGCAAACATATTTAAAGCTGGAATATACTATACTATACTGGAATATATTAGATGTATTTCAAGCTATAAGCTGGATGCAAAATTAACAAGCTTTTCTCGTGAAAAGCTCATTTGTTACATTTGATTAAGAGGTACATACATATTAGAGACGTATGCTATACCAAAGAATTTTTACTTTAAATAATTGTTCAATTAAATAATCATTTTACACTTGTTCATTTAATTTGTTTGATCCATTCGTTTCCTACCAAAAGTTAATATTTTCCAATTTGAATCAAGAGGTATCTAGAAGTTGAGTTGAATACTTTTTTGTGTTTTTTGCTCTAACTTATTAATGGCAAATGATAAATCTGACCGATCTGGTCAGTCGTTCGCGAATTCCGAGGCGTGTGGTTATAAAAAATGAGCGGAAGAATTGGCGAAGCTTCTGAAAGTGGTGTGGAGAACGAACAAACGAGTGATGGGGAAAAACCTCTCCAGACAGCACGAGAAGAAATGATTCAGAAGCTTGTGAAAGTGTTCCGGGAACAAAGCGTCGCGAAATTACAGTCGAAAACTCTTCGGCTTCAGTACCAATTTCCCAGGGAAATGAAGAGAAAAACCCAGCTGCATCTTTGGCTCCGAAAACACCCGAAATCTTTTTACTGAACACCTACTGCTGGGAAAGAGTTATCTCATATTTGAGCGTGGGTGACCAATTGAGACTGGCTGCATCAAGTCCGCATCTTAAATCACTTTTCGAAACTTTAAGTCTGAAATACAAACGAATCACAGAAAACGTCGCATGGCAATTAAGCGAAAACGAGCTCTCTCAATTGCTGGAAATTGTTAATGAGAATGTGATCAGCTATGAGTCACCGCTGGGTCCTCATTTCGATGGAGAGCGGAATTTGTGGCTATTGCGGACCTTCTGTCCACGATTGGAACACTTGAAAATATCTATTGAACGGCCGAGATGGAATGATCTCTTACAGTTGAAGAGTCTTACATCCCTGCACGTCTATCTTCAATTCTCGAGGGCAAAGATGTTTAAGCATTTTGTTCGCAGCCTAGCGAAACTGCCCTGCCTCCGGAAATTGAACTTAAAGGCACCAGGCTATAGTGGAGATGGGCTGCATGTGCTGGAGAATTTAGAATCTCTGGCGTTTTGTGCTTATAAAGGATTAAATGCCAAGTGTTTGGCCACGGCCTGCCTGAAAATGAAACAACTCCGCCACCTAGACTTTGGAGAATTCATTGAAACACTCACCGCGGACCACTTGAGGGTAATTGTGAGAAACTGTCGCAATCTGGAGAGTTTACTCTTGGCTGAAACATTTATGCCTAAAAATGTGCCCTACGAAATCCTGTGCCAGTTGCCCAAACTGAAGTACTTGAAAATTTGGCATTCTGGCTTTCTGGAGGCAGGTTTCATCGAGGGACTGATTCACAAAACAGACACTCCGCTGGAAAGCCTCATTTTGAAGGGAGACGTCTTGCGTGCCGAACAGGTGGAGCATATCTGCGAGATTTCCTCGCTAAGGGAACTTTTCATCCGCTGCTATAGTGTTCCCTTGAGTGGCCTGCTTAAACTAAGGAACTTGGAAATTCTGAAACTGGATACGAGTGAAATTACCAACCACCAACTGTTGACGATCCTCGAAGGCTGTCCGCTAATCAGAGTGCTCGGTCTGAGTGCTCGACTATTGATCAACTCAGATTTTGTTCGAGATGCAACTCGATTGTTTGGATGCAGAAAAATCAAGATCTATCTACAAGTTCTATATGTTAATCGGAATATTTTAGAAACCTTAAATGGAAATAGGTTTATTCAATTCGAATTGGCCTTTCTTGATTAACGAATAATTTAGCACTGGACTTAAAAGCACATAACTTATTGAGCAGTTTTGAAGTTATTTCTAAGAAATCAGCAAAAAGCCAAATAAACCCCCATTATTAAACGACACAACCATTACGACTTTTAATTTAGACTCAGAAATCTTTTTGTATTTGCAAAATGCCCGAAACTGGAATTTTAAACTGCGATCATCGTTCCACCGCTGACTTCTCAGGCCAACTTCATATGTTCTTACCTTCTCTCTATAAGGCTTGAGAACTAACTCGACCAGATCTGCAAAGCCAGAGCTGTAGAAGTATATCAGCAACTCGATCGCCAAAAGCCAGAACAAGGATGATAGGGTCAAAACTCGGAACAAGCCAAGGAAGCGCATTTTTCGAATTAAACGAAAGGTTTCTGATATATTTGGCATACTCAGAAAACTCGAATAAATTATTGATTGTAAAGCTTAATGGATGGATTTGTAAATTAGTTTTTCGTCGTTAAAATAATATTTATTTCAAAAATCAAAATTGTCTGATGAAAAGCAACGATGTTATCAGTTTATGTCCGTTAATTCTATATAGATTTTTGATCTTTCCTGTGGCAGCTATATGATATAGTTGTCCGTTTTTTTTTTGAATTGTTTTACTCGGTTTAAGGGTAGTTAAAAAGTCGATGTTGTAAAAATGATGCTCGTGGAATAAAAAACAAAGACGTTATAATTTTTTTGCCATTATTTCTACATGTATTTTTCGATCTTTCCTATGGCAGCTGTATGATAGAGTTATCCGAGTTAACCCAACCCCATTATCTATTCCTACACTACTGCCTTCTAAAAGAAGCAGGATTTCAGGTACACTAAAAACCAACTTTTCCATCTTCCGTATTATCATAAATTTTGTTATCATCAAATTTAAAAAATTGTATTGCATACAGCTTACGCTTCATGACATTTAAAGGCAAGGACTAAGTAGGTAAATAGAAATACAACGCAATATTCCCTTTTATGTTAAAAAGCTTTTTCAAGCTTTAACAGTGGTGGTTCATGAATCATGATAAATAATTATGAAAGTATCAGAACACCGTTGAAATTTGAATTTAAGTTCGCGGCTTACCCTTCCCAATATTTTAAAAGAAATGTAAGTATTCGGTGGAATATCTTTTGAAATGAGAATACCTAATCGAAGGATGGCTTTCAATTGATTCCCTCCACCATCCCTTACTATTTTTAATCGATTCCCACATAGGGAGGTTTGCAGAAACCAGTATTGTCAACCCCCGAATGCAAACAAGAAATCTGGGAGGGATGGATCTGTATCCAGTATCATGTGTGTGCCGGAACGAAATAATGGCAGAGGCCAATCAATGAATTATATACGAGCACATGTCCATGTCCTGCAGCACCCAACCCTTATAGCTTATAGCTACCCCACCATATCCACCCAAACTCGCAATCCCGTGATGAAAACATCGACAGGGCAATTGAAACAAACGTTTTATTGGCATTTAATAGATGCCAATAGGTGTATGTACGTACGGTTTTCACTTTTACGTAATTACAATAATTTATTTCATCGTTCAAAATTGTTTCATACTCTCTTTTTCGATTCGTGGTTCTGTTCATTGCCTTTCGGTACTACTGGATGTTCTTTTCGCACTGAGCAGATACATAAATAATTGGTATTTACAAAATGCATGGTTCTTTAACATTGTCTGTGGTATCGTTATATCTGTATCAAATCGGCTTATTATCTGCGGCATATGTATCAGTTTTATTGAACTCAACCATTCAGTTGACGGTAAGCTATAGCTTATATATAAGCGGTAAGCCTTCTGCTTCTGGATCTGGGTCAGTGGGTGGTCTGTGTCTATGTATGTCTTTTTGGGTTATATCATATAGTAGATTGGCGGATAGTGGTTGGGTGTACAGAGTACCTTGATTGACCAACTGGGCACATTTCTTTGTCAAATATCAGTCGTTATATTTTAAGAACTCGTTTTGGGTGTGTATAAATAGTATGGATACCCTTACTAATAGATACATGTAACATTAAAAGTTTATTTCTTGCTCATTATTCGATTCTCGGGTCGGTTTTTACAATTTACAAATTAATTAGGCTTATCATCGATAATCGATCCTTTAGCACAATTAATCAACAAAATAATAAACCCTTCGCTTTAATACTGACATAAGTACTTAAGATTAGTCATAGTTTATAGTTAAATGCTGAAACGAAACAGAAGGGCAGAACTCAAACTTCCCGATGTGTTTTATTCCCCAAAAGCGAAGACCAAGAAAGTCCCAGTAGTTGGGGTTTGGGAAATTTTTGGGAGCGTTACTGTGGCCACAGTGGGCGCGAAAATTTTGAAACCATAGCTAAAACTTGAGTGTCATTGAATGCGTGTCGAAATCGGTTTTCAATGAGTTTTTCGATTTATTTAAATACAATTTTTATGTTTTATTTGTTTTGTATTTAATTGCATTTGCTGTTTCTTTTTCATTTTTAAATTGTTCACTTTTGTATTTTTTGTTTCTTTCGATCATTCATAAATGTAACGTCTAATTTAATAATGAATTTTAATATTTTGTGTGTGTGTGTGTGAGTGTCTGTGTTTAATTCACGGGCTTCGTTTACGCTACTTGTTCAATCTTTGTATATTTTGTTTTACGCATAAACTGGGCATTTAAATTAGGACTTATGACATAAAGGAAAGAAAGATTTTGGTTTTGTTTTTTTTTTTTATGTATATAGTGGGGATGTTTACTTCTTGTTGGTTTCCGTATAGATTGCTTTTATACGAAAATGCCTTCAATTACAATTTTTGTTTGTTTTGTAGTTTTTTATAAAAAAAGTACACATAAAATACAATTAAAATAAGGTAAGAAATAAAAAATTATTTCTTAAACATAAAAATTATATACTTTTGCGATTTTTTTGTGGTTTTTTCTCCTCTTTCTTCTCCTTGTTGTGGTTTATTTTCTGGTTGTTGGTTTATTATTATTTTTTTGTTTTGTTTTTTTGCTTGTAACTTTTATTTATTATTAATTTAATTTTTTGTTTGTTTTTGTTTGTATTTTTGACTACATTATTATTACGCCTGATCGTCCGAGCCGGAACCGTCATCATTATCATCATCATCGTCTATAGAGGGTGGTGGGAATCCGGAAATTAGTTTTTGAGGTATGAGAAACCTTTCTTTGTGAACTCACCATCACATTCAATGTCGTCCTCCTCACCATCGTAGGGTATGTCGTATTCGTCGCTCTCGATTTCACTGTCGCCCTCGATGATTTCCTCCAGAGCCTCTTCCTCATCGGAGTCGCCATCGGCGGCGGCGGCTTTCTTGGCCTTCTTTGATTCTGCGGATTTGGCCTGAAAAAGCAAAGCAAGTAGAACGATTTTAGTAAAGGTTTAATGATATATTAATTTAGAAACATAAACAGCAAAACTATGAAAAACTAGCTGAGTTATTCATTCAAAAACCCTGATTATTACCATTTTGTCCTACATATCAGTTTTTTAAAACATGTCTAAATATGTAGGATATTCTTGTCCCTTGTAAAAAATCATAGAATAGGGAGAAATTAAGGAAAGTTTCGTGAAACGGTTCTATGCGCCCAACTCAAACCCCCACATCTCCTTGATCAAGGGCATCCAATACCGCTCTTAACTCTCGACGTGCGTGTGTACATAGTCATAAAATGTATATTTCAGCCCACAAAACAGGCAACGATGAAAATCGTTATTTTCGCCGTATAAAAACATTTGAAAAATGCGCGCGCCAATGTAATTCGCTGCGGCAAAGAGAAAATTCGAGAGCCAAGGAGAGAGAGAGAGAGCGGATTACAAGTGCAGCCGTTTCATCTGTGTTGTGTATGTATTAGGCGACATATTTACTACATAAGGGAAAAAACAACAAGCAGCAACGCCGGCAGCGACATATGTATCCGCATCCGTGAGATACGAAACGAAACCAAGCGTGCCCTGTAGGACAGAGAAAGAAGGAGAGCGGAAGAGAGAATCGGAGAGAGTATCCGAGAGCGAGTATCTGAATCTTGGAGAGCGTCCCATCCGCAGAACTGTAAACTGTACCTGAGTTGCATGAATGAATCTCTCTCACAAACTCTAGCGACAGCTGCTGCAGCGACGTTGGCAGCGAAAAAAGGCGCAAAACAACAACATGCGTGGGTTCAACTTTGCCGCTGGCCAACCAACAACAAGATATATAAAAGGTATTCGGTTGTATATAGGCGGTCACGTTCCCAAGTCAAAGAGTGGCCACAATACATGGGCCCTATTTACCAGACTGTTACAAAGCGGAAAGGAAAACAAGCGGGATGTGGAAAAATGCGCAAAATTAATGGCAACCCACCGGCCCCTTTTCTTTTATTTCCTTCACAGCATAAGTCACGAGACCCAAAGCTCGAGAAGTGTGAAAAAGAGGATCTTAAAGGAACAGGGTCTATTTCTCTTATTGTTTTCAATTTTGAAAGGGCATGTTAACATGTTTACTTATTGTTTATGTAGCATGCTTTTATAAAAACTAATTTGCTTGAATTAAAAACAATATTTCTTTGTTTTGAATGGTGAAAAATACTGGAAATTGTATACTTTCCATATCTTATCTAAAACTTTAAGAATGTGCTACAATACTTCAAGAACTCACTCTATAAAAAGTATCTTTATTGATTTACCTTTAGATGGCAAGCCTAGATTTTATTTTAATCCATAAGATACAATACTATTATCCCCAAAGGTTGACTAGACCCCTGCGACACCCTGTAAAACTGTCTTGTTTTATGTACCAAAATAAATACGCATAAAGCAGAGTAGGAAAAAAGTGAAAGATAAATGTAAGCACAAACGCAAACAGACAAATGTGTATACAAATTACGGGGGAGAGGGAGAGAGTTCCCAGAGAAAGAGAGTGCACCTCTCTAAGAGCGCGCTCCCGTTAAACTGTACATTTTTATTTCGAGTTTGAGTTTGAGAAAAAGCGCTTGATTTGCCAATTTATCTGCCTTACTGGCCGAACTATTTTATTTTTATCAAGAAATGTGCTTCTCGATTATGGAATGCGACAGTCAGACCCCAAACTTGTTCAAATCCCGCGTGCTCCTCGGCGGTATTAACCAAAAATAAAAGTGGGAAAACATGACATGAGTAATTTACCGGCCGGCAATGTGTGTTTTCATTGAGAGAGTGCATTGGCATCGCCTTTCGAGTTTGCATTGGCAATTACCAGCGCCTGATAAATAAGGCCAAGAGTATGAGTTATAGCCGCGCTATATCTATTGCCCCCAATGCTAATGACCTATGGGGTTTATTAAAAATACATTACCCACCCCACGAAAGCAAAAAAATAAACCCCTGGCTAACTGTACTCCCTCTGTCTCTGTGTGTATAGCCCTCTAACCTCGATTTGAACCTAACAACAATAATCTTTGATTGCCGGACCCGCAATCATCTTGGTTAATCGTAAACAACACACTAACGTATATATGTAGGGACTATCTCTCGCTCATTTTGTAGTATATAAGCCACTGAGAGAGTGCGCTGTTCCGAAAAACGTGTGTATATCTATTTCTAGAATTTTTCCGAACAAAAAGTGGAACTCGTGATTCATTTGGGGGGTTTACAGCGGTAAACAAATGGTTAAGATACTCACTTCGGCTGGCCTCTTGGTGCCCTTAACGGATTCCTTAGCGGGGGCAGCGGCGGCAGCATCGGCGGCATCCTCGCCGTCCTTTGACGTACCGTTGTCGGCGGCATCGCCGGCAGCGTCAGCAGCAGCCTTATCCTCAGCGGCCACCTTCGCCTTGAGATCGTCCTTGACAGCCGACACATCCTCCGCCGCCACCTTCTCCACGGCCACATCGCCGTTGTTCTGTTGTTCCGTAGCAGCCGACATTTTGTATTTTAGAGTTAAGTTTTTCCGGAACTATGTGCTGTTTTTAAAAGAATAGCAGTGGGTTTGGGTTTACTTTTCGGCTTGTTGACGACAGAAACCAGCGCAAAATACTCGAGGGTGTCGGGAGAGAGAGACAGAGAGAACCGTACCGCGCGAAGCACACAAACACATTGGACGAGCCTCGGCTGCGGGCCGTCTATTTAAGCACTCGCTCTCGCGCGGAGCGGAGCCCGGCTCTCTCTCGCTCTCCCCCTCTCTTTTTGAGCTCTCTGTGCCGTTATCTCGCTCTCTCCCACGCCACGGCCTCTGTGCAATACACTCAAAAAACCTCCGCGGCATTTGTACAGCCGCAGTCGATGAGAGAAGCGCAGAGAGAAGACAACAACAACATCCCACAGGGCAGGCGTAGATTTTCGAAAAATACTATTTTGCGGTGATTTCTGTCTCGATTATATGGTATCTATAAGGTATTGAGGTCCCCCAAATATCGGGCAGCGCTACGAGACCGGAAGGATATATTCCGGCTAGCAGGCCCCACCGATATGTGGGGTCTCTCTGGAAGGTTCCTAACCACCGATATGTGTTGCCGTCGACGGTTCGTACAAGACTGAGCTTGCTGTCTGAATAATGCCAGCAAATCGCCGCCTGCTTCTTCTTGCGCGAAATCGCTCGCAGACTTTTTCGCCTATATCTCGAAGATCTTTATTCGGATCGGATCCGAGACGGATCGAGGCTATAGCCAGAGGGATTCCCCTAATTTTGGCGTCTTTCCCGTGGCGCTACGATCAAAACTAGATCTGCAATTGACGAGTTGAGTGGGTTTCCTGATTAATTCCATACAAAATCTGCTTGGGTTTCGTGAGTACAGTTGTGGGCGCGTTTGGCGGTAAATTTGAAAATTGCGCGCACCGGTGGTGCGTTTATGGGGATTTTGGGAGGGGGTTTCCAAGGGGGGTGGTTGTGTGTGGTGCAGTCACTCTGTGGCGTTTTGACCATCCGTCGGTTCGGTGGAAACAACAGTGGATGTTGCCGATGGGAAGAAGTGTTGCAGCATTGTTGCTGCAGAATGTGTGCGCTGTATTTTGTATTCTGTCTTCGGCTCGTATTTATAGAGTGGACCAGCGTGGGACGCAATGTCGTCGCGGATTGGGGTCAATTGATTGGTAACGTGTGGGGAAGCAGGTGATTTTAGCGGTCTATTTTTGAGATTCTAACGATTTAATTGCACGCAATTGGGAGAAAATAAATTCGGTTTTTTTTTTTATTTTAATGATGTCTTAATGGATTGTATTTATGCGTTTTTAAAGATTCTACGTACACCTTAACAAGCTCAGAAAACTAAAAAATTCTTAAGTACTACAAGTTGAGCTTATAAGATTAGATGACTCAAAAAGTGTCATAGCCTCAGAAACATGTCATTGTATAAGTTCTTATTTAATGCCAATGCTTATCACCCATGTCCCACGTTCTTGAACAGGGTCCACCCTTAATTTTTTTATATGCCAATCTTTCTGATGATCCCGCACTTGTGGTTCGTCCATTTGATGGTGTTCTTTACACGAACCCAGTTGGTTCAGAAATCGACTAATATATACGAAAATCGCCGACTAGGCTATAACATATCCCCTCGTAATCAACGTGTTCGGGGTATATGGGTTTTATATTATATATTTATAATTCCATGTGGTATCAATCGAAAAATCTCTCAAGTTCATTCGAAAAGTGCAAATTAAGATTAAAATTGAAAAAGTAACAAACAGTGGAGAAATATTTGAGGTACTCCGCTTCGGGCGGGAGGTCCGGTAGTTCGTTATTAACCTTTACAAACTTTAGGAAATTGGATGAACAAACCATTTGCAGATTAGCAGGTATCCCCCAGTCGAGTTTTACAGCCCCTCAGGTATTAAGCTATTTTTGCGTAAAGGCAAATACGAATACCTAGGCTATATCGTTTGTAATCTGAATAATACGGTCGACGACAGAGCGAGCGGACGACCGTCGACAGGCGGGTCGCTAATTAAAAACCGGCGAACCTGTTCCGAGGCATCCAAACCGCGGTATAGTAAACGTAAACACCTGTAATCGTGGGCCGTCCATTCAGTTATCACATATTTGAGCAGCAGCGATGACTTTTTGCCTCAAACGCCGCTGCCTGATAAGCCGATTTGCGTCTCCGTTTTGCGCTTTCTGATGTGCTTTCTGGCTTTCTTCTTGTTTTCCGCCCGCCGAACTCTTAGTATTCGTTCGAGTGCCTCGGCGTTCGTTCCCCCAAGAGTTGTGGGCCTTTCGCGCATTGTTGCGATATGTGGGGTCTCTCCGGCTGAAAGACAGTGCCTCTGAACGATGGTATCTAGATTCCAGAGGACTACCAGTGCCAATTTCCACATATATCGGAGTGGTACGACTCGAGTGACGCTACTTCAAGGTTGAGAGATAGTTCAAAATGGAGGAACAGCTCGAGGGAAAGCGATAAGGAAGGTTCTACCGAAGGCAGGCAGGCAAAATTGTGAATATTCTTGACCTTGGTCCTACTTCCAAGGAACTCAAACATCTGCCGATAGGTTTTCCAGTAGTTTTATTGGGTTTTAGACCGAGGCCCAACCCAAGATTCGTGTTTATGTAGTTAGGATTTCTTTGCCTGGACTTTATTTTGATGCTCTTCCTGACCTATCCCAAGAATTTCTTTCAGTGCAGTTGCACGTTGCGTCACTTAGTTGCTGTAGCATAAAGGTGTGAACAAATCTCAATGCAAACAATCGATACCCGGGCGCTCAAACATGTGTATCTGAAACACACACATCAACTTTTATTCATGGTGATTAAGTTTTCTCTCTCTTAACTTACAAGTGGTGCTAATAGACTTGTAATGAGGTTGTTAAGTTTTCGTAGAAAGTAGGATGAAAATAGGGTTGCAGTATTTTATATTTCTCGGACTAAAAATTGATTTGTCCTGAGGTATAATTTCTAATATACCCAATACTCAAAACTGCGTAACGTTTTCCGAGTTTTGCAATGCGATTAATTGGCTAGTTTATATATTCCAAATACAAATTCAACTGTAGCGCATAAAAATAGCCCCCATAGGCCGTCGCATTTAGCGCTTAGGTACACAACATCGTTTGGTAGAACAACATGAACAGGTTTACGACTCGATTAGAGGGATTGTTAGATTGTTAGACTGTTGCTAGATGGGCGATTCGCTCGGCCGCTTGACTCGGCGGCATCTCGCCTGTAGAAAACGATCATCGCTTCAGACATTCTCATTCTCGGGTCTCGTTTTCCCGGCATGTGCTAATGTTTCCACACGAGTGCCGGGCCACATATAGTAGACTCGACTTGATATTCTGCCCTCACCTGCTCACCGGTTTCACCTGCGTCAACGGGCGGTTTACACGCAATTATTAAAATGAATTTAAGCAGCCCCATTGTCTTCGATTTCCAATACCACCCGACATACAGAAAGAGTGTTCTGCTGTCACTGTGAGTGGCTCCTCCTCTGTGGTTCGGCTGCTTTTAATTGCGCAGAGCACCCGTGACGTGTGAGTGGACATTCTTCCGGCGAAGAAGAATAAAGGATGAGTGGAGAGAGCCACTGCCACTGCAGTGCTGCAGCTGAAATGCCCCAAATAGGCTCATTCCCACCGCTGTCTCTTCAGCCACAACACCCACAACATTACCAGTGATGACCATAAATCGGCAGCAATCTTAATATAGCAACTTACAAAATTAATCATTGTTTTAAAATGTTCTAAGGGGTTTTAAAATTTACATTTATATTTTACAGGTAAATTTGAAACATATATGCCAAATATTTTCAATACCTTGTATTTTGGCTAGAAAACTTCTAGGTAAACAACAATTAGGCTCATCCTCCTTCCCAGATACCTTCGTTTGCCATCTGCGTCATGCATTTCGCTGCACTGAGCACTTGTGGTGGGTGGTGGTTCAGAAGGAGGTGGTTTGGCGGGTTACCCACCCAGTTGGTGGTGCTACTGCCAAATGCTAGCGGTGGTTGCTTGGACCGCCGGAGATGAGAAATGATAGAGAGAGAGGGGACCCCATGAATGAATCACTTGGGGATGGGGCTGAACCATCATGGCATCATAGGCGGAATTCGTTTGTGTTTGCACAGCCAAAATAAAACTACGGTCAGTGTCCATGATTGTGTGACTTTTCTTTGTTGGTCTGAGCAAAAATCATTTATTCAACAATTACATATTTATATACATATGTACTCATACCAAAGCTAGTGCCGCACGCCACTGACATTAATATATATGGGTATGTTAATATATGGATGTTATATGAAGGGTTTGGCTTTAATTGATAACTTAATATTAAAAATCACAGGTCAGGGGCGGACGCAGGGGGGTGTCCGGGGGGTCCGGACCCCCCCAAAATCTCACACTTTTTCAAATTTCCTTACAGCACACGGCTTTTCAACCATAAAAACTAAAATTTTTTTTGGTCGGACCAAATTTTTTGATCGGACCCCCCCAAACGTAAAATTTTTTGATCGGACCCCCCAAACAACAAAAATTTTTCGATCGGACCCCCCCAAAATTTTTTTCTGCGTCCGCCCCTGTCACAGGTTACCAAATATTTAGAATACTGTCAAGAATACAAAAACAACCACGCTCTTCTCACTTTGGTTGGATTTTTGAATTTAAATTACCCGCTTTTCAAGAGCGTAGTAAATATTTTTCAATGGGGTACTTTTTGTTGACAAAACAAAATTGTATCTACACAAATGTCTCCAGAACAGTGTTATAATAAATGCTTTAGAGAAATATGAAAACATAATTTGTGTCTGTGTTTTTGGAAAACCTTTTTCAAACGACGACCCCTTTTTCGGCAGCCTTGTTATCAACACTATCCCCAACGACATTTTACTGCACTGCTTTGCCACCACTTACCAACACTATTTGGGCGCCAAACGCAAGGTTGCATTCGGCCACTATAATTTTAAGCCAACTTTTCAGCTGAAATACTCCCCAATATGAACTCCGGATCCCAGAACAAGACAATCCCCATTCATGTCCTGCGCAGGATATGTATAAAGTGTCCGATAGCTGCCTGCTACGCAGCTCCGCCCTGGAAATGATGCAACCCTAGCGGCCCACCAATGACCTTGCGCTGACATTGCCGCACAGCAGTTGCGGACGAAGACGAAGAAGATTCGCCTAATCAGTGGAATCGCGACCCGGAGTTGGCTAGCACACATAATCCAGAAAAATCCCAAGATGGCATTCAATAAGCTGAGCATCGAGAACCTCGATTTGGCAGGCAAGCGTGTGCTGATGCGGTAATTGGGAAATCCTTCGCTGAAATTCAGTTGCATAAACATGAGTTTTTGCTTCTCCGCAGAGTGGACTTCAATGTTCCCATCAAGGAGGGCAAGATCACCAGCAACCAACGGATTGTGGCTGCCTTGGACAGTGTAAAGTTGGCCCTGTCCAAGAAGGCCAAGTCCGTGGTGCTCATGTCCCATCTGGGTCGTCCCGATGGCAACAAAAACCTCAAGTACACCTTGGCTCCCGTTGCCGCTGAGCTGAAGACCCTGCTCGGCCAGGATGTGACCTTCCTGAGCGACTGCGTTGGTAGCGAGGTGGAGGCTGCATGCAAGGATCCCGCCCCCGGATCCGTCATCCTGCTGGAGAACGTCCGCTTCTACGTGGAGGAAGAGGGTAAGGGTCTGGACGCCAGCGGCGGCAAGGTGAAGGCTGATCCCGCCAAGGTCAAGGAGTTCCGCGCCAGCCTAGCCAAACTGGGCGATGTCTATGTGAACGATGCCTTCGGCACTGCTCACCGTGCGCACAGTTCCATGATGGGCGATGGCTTCGAACAGCGTGCCGCTGGCCTGCTGCTCAACAAGGAGCTGAAGTACTTCTCTCAGGCTCTGGACAAGCCCCCAAATCCCTTCCTGGCTATCCTCGGCGGCGCCAAGGTGGCCGATAAGATCCAGCTGATCGAGAACCTTCTGGACAAGGTCAACGAGATGATCATCGGTGGCGGCATGGCCTTCACCTTCCTGAAGGTCCTTAACAACATGAAGATTGGCGGTTCCCTGTTCGACGAGGAGGGCTCCAAGATTGTGCAGAACCTGGTGGAGAAGGCTAAGAAGAACAACGTTCAGCTCCATCTGCCCGTGGACTTTGTCTGCGGCGATAAATTTGCCGAGAACGCTGTCGTGAGCGAGGCCACCGTTGAGGGAGGTATTCCCGATGGACACATGGGTCTGGATGTGGGTCCCAAGACCCGCGAACTCTTCGCGGCGCCCATCGCCCGCGCCAAGCTCATCGTGTGGAACGGGTAGGTGTTATATTTACTTTGTATTACTGAAACCCTTTCATAACGTGCCCTTTTGCAGTCCCCCCGGTGTGTTCGAGTTCCCCAACTTCGCCAACGGCACCAAGTCCATCATGGATGGCGTGGTGGCCGCCACCAAGAACGGCACCGTCTCCATCATCGGCGGCGGTGACACTGCCTCTTGCTGCGCCAAGTGGAACACCGAGGCGCTTGTCTCGCACGTCTCTACCGGCGGCGGTGCTTCGCTGGAGCTCCTGGAGGGCAAGACACTGCCAGGCGTGGCCGCTCTCTCCAACGCCTAAGCGTGTAAAGACCGTATATTTATGTTAATCGCATCGTTTATCTTGTAAGCACAAAACCAACACGTTTAAAAGTTGAATCTAATTGTTGCGGGCAAAGTTGCTATCCATGGAGGCTGCAGTGCGCTGGATGTTGTTCAGATTGGCCCGAATGCGGTCGCCTATGGAGTTTTGGTTGGCGATGGCCTTCTTCACTTCCTTGTTGATAAACTCCTTGTCGAAGTCGCGCTCGCGGTTTTGGGCTTCCTCCCGAGCATAGGCTTCCCGATGTTTGCGCACTGCCTGGGTGCGATCTGCTTCCCGCCAAGTGGCATTGTCCATCATTTCACGCAGGCGAGCTTCTCGGTCGGCTTCACTTAGTTTGGACTTGCCGGCGGGCCGACTGGGAGCCGGACTGCGTTCCCTTTCCTTTCGTAGAGGTGGTCTTTCGGGACTCCTTCGTCGATCGTCTCGCTTTGAACTGCGGCTTCTACTTCGTTTGTGCCTGGAACGCTCTTCAGGGCTTCTATCTCTGCGCTGCTCCCGTTGTCTGGAGGTTTCATTACCTTCTTCTGGTCGACGACGTCTCTCTTGTCTGATCTCTGGGCTTTTACTCCTTCGTCTTTCTTTCCTTTCCTCGGGACTTCTTCGCCTTTCCTTTCTTTTGTCTGGACTTCTGCTTTTCCGCCTTTCCTTTCTTTCTTCTGGACTTCTGCGTCTGTTCCTCTGGTCTGGACTTCTACTCTGTCGATTTCTCCTAGAACTGTCGTTTTTTTCCTGGGGGCTTCGGCTCCTATTTCCACTCCTTGAATCAAGATTCCTGGACTTGTGTCTCCTGGGCTTCTCATCTTCATCGCTACTTTCATTACTGCTGTCGCTGCTTTTCTTTTTAGATTTCTTACTCTTTTTCTTGGTGGCCATTGAGAGTTGCTTGGATAGTGTCCGGTATTTGGCGTCTAACAGTTTGTCTAACTTGAGGTCGCCATTGCCGTGGTCGCCCTTGAGTTTGCTGACCTGGCGTGCCAATTTTCTGTCCAAGTCGTCATCACTGTCGTTGTTTCCGCTTTCGCTGCTTTCCTCATCACTGGATCGCTTGCTCTTTTTCTTCTTTTTTGATTTCTTTGACTTTTTGCTCTTCTTGGCTTTTTTTTCTTTGGAGGCCTTTAGGTCCTGTTCGGTCTTCAGAATCCTATGTATTTCCTTTAGTTTGACTGGGTTCTCAAGTAATTTGCGGCGGGATTCCATCTCGCGCTGCTTGATGAGCATCAGAGGATCCTCGAGGGTCTTGCGCTGCATGTCCACCTGTTCCGTTGACTGCAGGTTGCGATATGTTCGGATGGAGAACGGCACACAGTCGTGCTCCACATGATTGATTGACTGTTTAAGTCCGACAGTGCTTTGTTCCTGCCGGTTCTCCTCGGCTTGTAGGGTCTCAAAAGACTTATCGATCTTGCGACCCAGAAGGTACTCCTCTCTGTTGATCAGCTCCGTGCTGTCTGGAAAAAGACTTATATTAGATACATGGATCTATCAGAGTTTTTAGTGGGATGACTCACTTTTGTACATCCATTCCAGCTTGGCTTCCCCAGCGGCACCACCACTATTGCCAAGGACACCGGAACTTTCACCTAACCGCCTCAGCTCTTCTCTGTCCCTCTCCTCGTTGATCTCCTTGCGCAGATCCTGCAGTTTGCGCTCCTCCATCTTCGCCTGCTCCTCCGCTTTCCAAACACGCTCCTGGTTTTTCATTGTGTGTGGATGCCATGATTTCTTCAGGTTCTGCGTAGGGGAACTCACTGGTTATAAACTGGCAAACTATTAAAAAGCATTACCTACCAAATCTCCGCCCCCCATTTTGGGAATTTATTTGGGTTTTCACTGCGAAAACAAACTAATTCCAAACAACTCCAGTTTTTCCCTCCTTTTCTTGTGTTTTCAGCAAAAACATATGTTCACTAACAGGAATGCCAGAGGTTTAAAAATATAGCAGGGTTGCCAGAAGGTATAAATTTGTTTTGAAATGTTTAAATCTCAACTCTTTTTATTCTTCTGTCAAAATTTTCTAAAATTCCTTCCTACTTTACATAATGCTTATTTTACAACGAAACATTTTGAAATATACACATCTGGACAATCTAATTGCTCAAAGGGTTACCAATACATTTTTAAAATATTTTAGCAGCAAAGACGAGTGCAAGGGAGATCAAGTAAAGAAGTTGAGTCTGAAAAATGTCGATGTAGCTGGCAAGAAAATATTTATGAGGTAACAATTCTTAAAAGTTGTACCCCAAGATTGAGTTTTTATATATTTTGTACAGGGTGGATTTTAATGTACCCATGAAAGATGGAAAAATAACGAACAATCAACGTATTGTCGCTGCTCTTCCAAGTATTAATTTTGTTTTGGACAAGAAGTGTAAATCTTTGGTGACCATATTTTTATTTATATAAACTTTTCCAATTATAACTCTTCCTTATCTGTGTACCAGGTCTTAGCCTCCCACTTGGGTCGTCCCGATGGGAAAAAAGACAAAAAGTTCAGCCTGGAACCGGTGGCCAAGGAACTTGAGAAGTTGCTTGGAAAGCCAGTTTGTTTCTTGGACGACTGCGTGGGTGATCAGACCATAGAAGCTCTGAAGGATCCACCCGAGGGCAGTGTCCTCCTACTGGAAAACCTTCGCTTTTACGCTGAGGAGACGGGGAGCAGCAAAGACGAGAACAAGAAGAAGGTGAAGGCCGATCCTGCCAAGGTTAAAGAATTCCGGGAGAAGTTGGCAAAGCTCGGCGAGATCTATGTGAACGATGCCTTCGGAACAGCCCATCGTCCTCATAGTTCCATGATGGGGGAAGGCTACAAATTGCGAGCAGCTGGTTTTCTGATGGACAAGGAACTGGAGTACTTTGCGAAGGTTCTGCACAATCCAGCAAAGCCCTTTCTGGCCATTTTGGGTGGCGCCAAGATAGCTGATAAAATTCCCCTGATAACAAATCTCCTGAATAACGTTTCCTCCATGATTGTTTCCGGAGGCATGGCCTTCACCTTCCTCAAAGTCCTAAATAACATGGAGATTGGCAAATCTCTCTATGACGAAAAGGGAGCCGAGATGGTAAACGATATCGTTTGCAAGGCGAAAGACCAGAATGTTAAAATACTCCTTCCGGTCGACTTTGTGATCGCCGATAAGATCGACAAGAAGCCAGATAAAATCGATCGTGTGGACGCCAAGCAGGGTATTCCGAAAGATATGATGGGTCTGGATCATGGCGAGATATCCAGCGCTATTTTCGCCGGCGCAATCTGTGCGTCGAAAACCATTGTGTGGAATGGACCGCCGGGCTTGTTCGAGAACGAGTTGTTTTCCCAAGGCACCCAGTCCATGTTGGAGGCGATTATCGGAGCCACTAAGAGGGGAGCCACCACAATTGTGGGCGGAGGAGATACGGCCACGGCGTGTATGCAGTTCGGAGGTGCCGACAAGGTCTCTCATGTGTCCACCGGAGGAGGGGCATCCCTCGAGTTGCTGGAGGGCAAGGTCCTGCCGGGAGTGGCTGCTCTCTCAGATGCCTAAAGAGAAAACCTAATCTTACTATTTTCTTGGAAGAATAACAACTCTTTCTCAAAATACAAAGTTAAGTTTTATTTTCGAATAACATTAGTTGGTTAAAACTTGATAAAAGAGCTGATCTCTGCGCGTGAACAGATCTCGCATGGCATTTCCTGTCTTTTTTTTCATAACTCCTTAAATTTTGCATATTTTTTAAAGCGAATCTTCTTGAATAGTAACTTATAACCGCAATGAACTAAAGAATTTCAACATCCGTTTAAAACTGGAATAGAAGAACCATAATTTTTCAACAAAACTAATTTTTGGCATAACAACCACACGAGATCTGTTTGCCGGAACTCCAAAGGATAATACAAAAGAATAACATTGGATTAATCGAAACTAATAAGTTCCGCTGTGGCTGGCTCCTCGGCTTTAGCCGGCGGAGGGCCTGGTTCGTTTTGGGGCGGAGCAGGTGCAGCAGCCACCGCTTGGACTTGGCTCGAGGCGATTTCGGTGACTGGCGGTGCCTGGGGAGCTGGAGCCGGTTGGTTGGCCAATGGCGGATGGGTCTGGACGATCTGCTGCTGCTGGAGCATCACGTGAGCCAGTTGCGGTTGTGGTTGGCCCTGCTGAATTGGAATCTGCTGTGGTTGCTGACCAGGAATCTGCTGAGACTGTGGACCGGGAATCTGCTGAGGCTGCTGTTGGAACGGGATTTGCGGAGGCTGCGCAATCGGATGCTGTTGTGCCTGCGGCGGAGCTTGTGGCTGCTGAAGGAGTGCTGGATTGTTGGCGAACTGATTTTCGAGCATGGGCGGCATCATCTGGCCGTTTCCTGGCGGCGCTGGTTGCTGCATCAATCCTCCCGGCTGCTGAAGGTTCTGTGGCATCGGTTGTTGCAGTGAGGGATTGTACATGCCCGGCGGAATGGCCTGGAACTGTCCGTGTCCGTTGGGAGCTGGTGCTTGAGCCTGTCCCAGATATCCGGGCACTCCGGCAGCGTAAGGATTGTAAACGTTGTTCAGCTGATGCGAGGGCGATCCATGTTGCGGCACCGCCGACGGTGGCATGTAGGGGAACGGTGGGGCCGACTGGCCCATCAAATACTGCGCCTTCTGCTGCTCCTGGCGCAGCTGCATCTCGCGCTCCTGCTCCTGGATGCGCTGCAGTGCCAACTGGCGTTGGTACTGCAGGTACTCCTGCTTCTTCTTGCGCATAATGTCCAACTTCTGGGCCATCTGCATCTGCCGTTGCCTCTCCTGCTCCTCGGCGATGCGGCGCAACTTCTCCACGTGCTCCTGCCGCAGCTGATCCAGCGCAGCCCGCGAGTCCTTGATCTGGGTGAGCTTGTCCTGCAACTGCTCGTACCACATGCGCTTGTCGTCCATCTCCTTGATGTAGGACAGCTGCTGCGAGTGCAACGAAGTCAGGGTCATGAAGAGGGTCTGCACCGAGGAGTCGTTGGAGATGCTGCGACCACGACTCGAGTTGGACTTCATGCGGTTCACAAAGATCTCCACCTGGGTGCGCATGTTGGCGGCAAACTCGTCGATCTGCACCTCGTCCGCGCTCTTCGCCTGCAAGGACATGATCTGCTGCGGCTGCGGAGTCGGCGGCATGGGACTCGGCGCCGAGGGGCTGGCCATCGAGGAGGACTCGCTGATCTTGCGCTGCTCCCAGTAGCTGCGGTTCAAGTACTTGGCCAGCTCCGGATTGGTCGCCTCCTCCGGCTGCTGGTGGTACTCCTTCGGCTCGGGCGGTGCCTCCGGACTGGGAGAACGCTGCTGCATGCGATAGGCAGCCGCTGGCTGGGATTGCTGCTTGGGCTTCTGCTGCTCCGCCTCCGATTGGCTAAGGGCCAGGGCCAACTGCAGTTCCTCCTCCTCCTTCAGTTCCTGCTCGGTCTTGCGGGCTGGCGTCTAAAACATAAATACGTTTAATAGTAAAGTATTTGGGGAATACCTTGTAATTATCTAGCAAATTTAATCACCATTACTTTTGATACTATACTATATATGTAAATAAATCAATTCACTGAATAATTTTTTAAACACAACCAACAATCTAAAGGCTTGGAATCACACTGACTATGAGTGATCGAAACTTTATCTCTGCTTACTTTTATCGACTGAAACAATTGTTTTTAAATCGGCTTCATGGTGACTCACCTGCACTTGCTGAGCCAACGTGCTATTTAAATACTCCGCTGGCAGCTCGCTGTCCGCCGGTCTTGATCCGGACTTTCCGCTGCTGGTGCCGCTTGAAGGGCGCTGGAGGGCAGCGAAGCAGCCGTCGCACACACGCACCTCCTTCTCGATTCCGTATTTCGGCAGCGGGCACTGCTTGGCAGTGCACTGGCCACAGAAGACCTGGCCGCAGTTGCGGCAATGGTGCTTCCGGTTGGTGAAGGTGAACTCCACGCGACAGCGATGGCACACCCTGCCATCCGCCCAGTTGGGCGCCGTGTCCGCCGTGAACATGGCATCCGCCTCCCGAAGCTCCGGGAAGGTGTGCCCCTTGGCCTTCAGGATGGTCATGGTGTCCTGGAAAAGATATAATGGTTACTAATGGTGAGCTAATAGAGGGAGTGAGTTTACTAGGGATTCCTCTTCTAAGCTTAGTTCTTCTTCGGAGCTCATTGCGATTCAACTGATGAAATTTCACTGAATCTCAATTCTCACTAAACAGTTGTTTTCTACTAATTAAATTAATGGCAAAAGACAGGGCCGGAATTGGTTTCAAGAGGTTTTAAAAGGGCACAGTTTCGCCGAACTAAAATCAATATGGAATCTACTACCTTAATGGCCTGGTATTTATCCGAGGAGCGGAAGGCATTGGCCCAGGTCTGCACCAGCTCCAGCATCTTCTGGCGCACATTCTCGTGCGGCGTGGACTCCAGGAAGCTGCTGAACATCTCGCAGTTCTCCTTGGTGAAGACCTCCTCGTGAACGGGAGCTCCGCAGTTCTTCACGATGCTCTCGAGGACCAAAAGGGAGTAGCAGGACGAGTGCGGATTGGGCGAGTTCATCTTCTTCTTGATGGCAGCAAAGGCGTTCTTGGGACTGCAAGATCACAATAATTATTAAGTGCTGTTTGCTAGAAAAAAGAAAACTTACGTGACATCTTTTTGGTTGATCTCATCGCAGATGAGGAGGATGGAGGGCCAGTCGGGCTCCAATCGCAAGTGACTAGTGGCATTTTCTGCAATGCAAAGTGCGTAATTAATGGACCTTTGTTTGTTTATCACACTCTTCAACTGCTCGCAAGTTCAATTGCCTTTTATTGTTACTTCTTCGAAGTTTTTTTTTGGGTTTTCGATGAGTCACTTTAACTGGCCAAACATTGCTTTGGTTTGCAGTTATTCCAGCTAATCCTTACCTAAGTTTTTGTCAAAACTTGATCGGAACATCTTCTATGTGCTTTCTTGCAGCTTTCGTCGTTGTTTCCTATTGATATTGAACTACAATTATTATTATTGTTTTGCAAGTGCATAGAAATTTTTCTGCAATACGCGGTGGTTGCCACATCAATGAAAAAACGCTTTATGATTAATGCTGCCAGATCGTTGAGGGAATGGACGGCGGAAATATGAGTAAGGGGAAATCCCAAACGCTAAACGTTAAACTTAGTAACGGTTTTTTAAAAGTGAAGTTTGTTTTAATAAATTGAAACCAAAGAAATAACACTTTTAACACTTTTAAAATCTGGGAAATTTTTGAAAAAGCTGCAGTAATAAAATAATCCATTATGAGCTTTGAGATATTTGTCAAAATATTAACCACCCTGAAATTAATTATTTTGAATGCAGTTGTTTTAAGAATCAAATTAAAAACTTTTTGAGACATCCTCCTCTCAAATTTGATATAAATAATAATAGTTGTGGGGTATAGATTTGTTAAAAGCCCTTGAAGCCACTTTAAAATCGTTTTTTTTTTCCAAGTTGGATTTCTTAAACTTCTTTTTTATTTCGTTTGTTCATATTGGTCTCTCTTACAACTAGGTTAACTAGACAATTAATTACACGTATATAAATGTTAGTTTATCCATACATAAACAGTATAAAAACTATGATTCGCTATGCTTAGAGGTTGCCGCAACAGTTGGCATTGGCAATTGCAATGGTCCGTTGCATTTGTTAAAGTATCACACGCCGATATAAAAAGTTGGGTTTACTTGCAACTAAGCGATAAGTAACATAAAATCACATTCGATTCAAATTAAGCCGAATACTAAAAGCAACACACACTTAGCCCCATTCAGTTCGTCTTGATCTTGTGCTTCAGCGTAAAGTAGGCCAGAACTTTAAAGATGGCTATTTGGATCAGGATCATAAGGATGTTGTGACCAAAATCGCCACTCTCCATTCCGAATTGTCGCAGAACAGTCACCGCATTTCTGTAATCATTAAAAATGATATTAAGAGTTCAATTCGATATTGATTTCTGGCTTTAACTCACTTGAAGTGGCAATAGAACTCGGTGGGTGGACAGATCAACTGACCCCGCTGGTTGCCATATAACGAGATTACCATATTCTCCAGGGCATAACGCAGTGGCGATATGTAGGCCATAAATCGCATGGCAGCCGGAATGTGATTCAACAAGATGAGGAAGCCGGAGAACATCAGCATACAAGATGTGGAAACTGCGCCTACAAAGGTTCCATTCTGGAAAGAAGGTTTCATTAGAAAGGTTTATTAAATTGATTTGCTGATTTAAAAGCTTACCACCGGATTTAGCACTGTTCCAAGGAACACGCCCAGTCCATCCGCACAAATGGTGACCACAACCGCACTCAGCAGATACTTAACAAATCGTTCCATTTCAACGGGCTGATCCGTCATCAGATAGCCTATAGTTATATAAACCGTTGAGAAGATTATCTGGAATAATAAATAAGTTGTGGTAATTAGATAATAATACTACAAAATATATTTTGTTCTTTAAAAGTTAATAGATACTCACATGAACTGGAGTTGAAGTGATTATGGTGGCAAGGTAATAGGTTCGCAGTTTGTACCAGTTGTTGAAGGTCTCCTTTCGTATGATCTCTATTTCGGCGGGATCTATAGGGAGTAACTCATCATATAACAATCTTTATATAAATTCATTCCTTTATTTACTTACATCTCAAAATGCCCGGCATTATTGTGGTATACCAGAGATATACGCAATGGATCATGATCATGCCGACATTGGATATTTGCTTAGTGGCATTGCTGCCCGAATCACCAAAGAACAAACCGATTAATATGGAGCAGAGCACGTGAATGCCTAGTTTTAGATAGGTTAAAGTCTATAAAGTAGATGTATAAGTTTAATTATTATTTTGTAATGTGAACATATAGGGATAGAGCTTACCCAATCCCTGAAGAACTGCAGGTGACAGCGACCGATGAGCAGCCACAAACGCATATATTCCGTGGGCGGATAAGTGTGCTTGGTCAGATCCTTTGAGGAGTCCATGTTCTGGATCTCGATCTTCTGGACCTGCACCTTCACCTGTCCCGGCGACTGAGATTCGTTGAACTTGGCCACCTGGGTTTCACTGGGCGGCTCGGAGGTCTCCCCCTGCATCAATTGCTGATCGTATCGCCAGCGGTTGTCCTTGGCCGCTTCTGCCAAAGTGGCGGTCTGATCTCCAAAGTCCCCGTTCGCGCATTCCAGCACTGAAATAATTAACACCTTTAGTGGCACGCCCTGTTTTCTTATTTTAAAAATACTACACAGCAAAAACAAAGAGGTGATTGTAAGGAAGGGAATCTGATAAGAAAGGCGCAGTGATAACCACGTTCATTAGGGTAAACAGTGATTATGGGAAGTGCCAATTAACTGCCAGGCTAAGTGAGTAATCATTGGAAGGGAAAGGCAGTAGTGGTGTACTCACGGAAGTCGGCCGGGTTGTGGTAGGGCGGGCACTCCAGGCCCACGCTGCTGAGGAACATGACCGTGTTCTGGGGCGTTCCCTGGAAGGTGCACTGACCCGCGGAGAGCACGTAGACCAGGTTGAACAGATTGTAGATGTTGGTCGACGGCTGGTGGATCGTGCACACGATGGTGCGCCCCTCGTTCGCCAGGCCGCGCAGCAGTTGGATGGTGTCGAAGGAGGAGGAGCTGTCCAGGCCACTGCGGTGGATCATGGAAAGAGAAAGGGTTCAAGGTCTGAATGCAACTGATTCTTAATGGGGGGAACAGGTTCCGAGGACAATGGTCCTCTCACCACCACTCACGTTGTGGGCTCGTCTAAAAATAACACAGCGGGATTGTCTATCAGCTCCAAAGCGATGGACAGCCGCTTCTTCTGGCCGCCACTCAGGTTGGAGCACTTCGTCTGCCGCGTCTTCGTCAGCTTCAGGGAGTTCAGAATGTAGTCGATCTGTAAATCACACCTCAATTAGTGATGCTTCGTTGATTGTGCACTCAGCGAAAGAATTTCAATGGAATTCTGGGATTGTATGGAATTATAATTTATTAGAAATAGATATCGTTAAAAGTTGTTTTTATTTGAACCATATGTTTATCTATTTATTATTTCATTTAATTTTTATTCAGTTTGAATTCTATGTTCTCATTTTTTTAAGTGCACTCCTAATTAACTCACCAGAGTTCGCTTCTCCTTCAGACTGACGCATTTATTGGAGATTTTAAGTGTCGCCGCCATCAACATGGTCTCCTCCACGGTGAAGTAGGGAAAGAAGTGGTCGTCCTGCATAATGTAGCCGCACAGCTTGCGTGCCTTTCCGATCTCAATCTTCCCGCTGACCCCGGTTTTCGTCAGACCCGTGAGGATGTTCATTAGACTAGATTTACCGGCCCCCGAGGGGCCCATGATGGCCGTCAGTTCGCCCGACTTGAACGTCCCCGTGATGCCCTTCAGCACTGATTTCTTCTCTGTAAACAAAGAGATAAAGTAAAATTAATTAGCCCTGCAATTAAGGTAAAAACTAACTTCTTATCAATAAAAGTAGCATTTTAATGGGCGCTATAAACCTAACTTGCTGAATGAGTTTCCCAAACTTTTTTACGCATTTAAACTATTCACTTGTTCAGAATTACTTAACCTTCTCCCATTTCAAGTGTTTCTCATGTGCGGAGCAATTAAAACTGCATATAATAAGGTTAGCAGGTTAGGAGCCATGGAAAAACACAGCGCTGGAATAAAAGGCCCATTTAATGTGCACACACCATAAAACAGGAGCAGCCTACGTTTCGGATGGGTCAATCTAAAAATGTGATTGCTTGTCCCACTTAGACTCATCCGGAATCATTTAAAGATTTAAAGATCATTCCACTTGCGATAACTGTTTGCTCTGTTGACTCTAGATTAAAATGGCATAGCACCTGTGGTCCGGGGTCTTTTCTTCCGGCACACTTTGAGTGCTAATGGAGATTGTCAATTTGCATTTGAAATTAATAGGAATCACTCGAGGGGTGAAGTGCGTCAACCAATTTAAGAACTCCTCTTTTGTGGTTGCTCTTTTCAGTAATTAATAAAAAATTTACGAAAAAAATAGATTTTTTGTAGAATCTTGGCACATTTGAATTTCGGTTTATCCCGAATTATTTCTAGAACATGTTTTGGGGGGTTCACTCTGTGTGTGTAACCCTCTTACCTTGCTTCTTGGGTACGTTGACCTGGTAGACGAGATCTTCGAAGTGAATGTCGATGCCGAAGACATTCTTCAACAATTTGCTGCTATCCATGATGTGTGTACTCTTGATATTCCGCACTGTTTACAAACGTTCTCGCTGATTTACTTTGAATGTTTATAACAAATTATTTGCGTTGCTGTTTACTTTGCACATTATTCATTTACACATATCAAGTTCGGAGAGCACTTTAATTGTTTTCGAAACGGCTGTGTGAAACAACAGTATTATAATGGATTACAAACCATCTGGTTTCGGGTTGCAATTTGTGTGGTGGTTGCGGGAATCAGAAATTATATCACCGAGCTTAATCGTATATAGTATTGCAACAGTTAAAGGGCCTTACGGTGGCAATTAGAGCGCGTCTTGAACCGGCGTGACCTCAAAGTTCGTGAACTGTCGAAACCGAAACTGAAAACTGAACACTGAAAACTGAAAACCGAAATCCAAAAGCCGCCGAAGTGTTACTAGCTGTTCTCCGTTTTACTACTGTACTTCTGTTTTGATTTTCTCAAGGAAATCAAAAGGGAATACCGGAGTGCTACTGTTTTTTTTTAACCGACCGCTCTGCGCATGCGCCCCCGTTGGCAGACAGCTGATAACTGCGGAAGAAGCCGCCGCCGACTAAAACGTTGGCTGCTCTGCCGCCGTCGACGCAGCGGCTAAAGGCGAAATACTAAAGAAAAAATAAAAATTATAATCAGGCAGAGCTTAGCACATTCGCATATCAAATATACAGCGAGGCAATGCAAAACACGCCAGAATGGAAGTCAACAATCGAGCCGGCAGAGTGGCATTAAATTTCAAGTTTAAGTCACGCCGATGTCGCCTTTTTTCTCGTTTCGATTTTGATTTTTTTGGCCAGCCGAGAACAACGGACAAATTGTTATTTCGATTTATGACTCAGGCGCAATACAATTCAATCGCACCTGCGTTTGCCAACAATTATGAAAAACAGAAACTATGCGTATTAGCCGACGTAAACTAACCGAAACAACGGCCTTGCCCAGAACCAGAACATTAAACAATTATGTGTAAACAAAAATCAACAAAAAGTTGATGTGCGAAATACCATTCTTGTGATTTGTTGCGATTGAAAACGTGTGAAAACGTAGCAAATTATAAACACCCTACAATTTTTTATTTCTGAATATTAGAACCTATAAAGAAAATCCAATAGTTTTCTTATTTTATATTCTTTATTTCTGAATATTAAAACCTATAAAGAAAATCCAACAGTTTTCTTATCTTATATTCTTTATTTCTGAATATTAAAACCTATAAAGAAAATCCAATAGTTTTCTTTTTTCTTATATTCTATATTTCTGAATATAAGAACTTATAAAGAAAATCTAAAATTTTTACATCTCTGTTTACAGGTTTTTTTCACAACTAAAAGAATGTGTTATGAAATCGTTCCCACATCAAAGCAAAAATTTCTATCTCGCTAGTTTCAAAGAACTTCCGCAAATTATTCAATTAGTCATGAAACACGTAGTTTGGTTCTAGGGAAAACACCCCCTACGTGACTTTCGGTTTCTTTAATGATATACCTTTTACAGCTTGTAATGATCTCGATAATCGAGCTTGGGGAAATTTGTTGAATAAACGAGTAAATTTAAGGAATGGCTTATTTATTAGTATGCCTAGAGTGTAAAGTTGTAATGTATGCTCTATTCTAGGGAATATTCTCCGCTGAAATACTAATTTCCCTTTTCTGGGCTGACTCATTAAAGTTCTAGAAGAGATATGCCCAAGTTTTGTGCGATAGGTGATTGAAATCACCGAAACATTGTAACAGAACAAACTGTTGCTCGAGATCGCGGGATTTGTAATTTGGCTTTCGGCGATTGCGAAACCCAAAAAAATAGTAGCAAAAGAAACTTGCGAAACAGAAAATTACGAAATTACATCAAAGCAGAAAAACCGTTGAGAGTGCTAAAAAAAAAAAGATAAGGTTATAGTGGTCAGTACTTAAAAAAAAAAGCGACAACTTTTCAGAAAGCGAATCTGAATAGAATTGAAGAGGTGTAAAAGGTAAGGAGCAATAAAGTTACAGTGATGGCTTTAAAAGGTAACCTTCATACGAGAAATATAAAAAATTGTAATAAGGGTAGATAATTTCTAAAGATTGTTTCTTGAGCTAACAATTTCTGATTTTTAAAGTTATTAAAAATACCAATTATTTTGCTCCCCGTTTTCAATTCTCTTTTTCGAATGCGAACCTTTAAAAAATAAGTGCCTCCATAAAAGTGAGGACTTCTAATTTTCGAGGCGACCACTGTAATTGCTTTGGCTTTTTTCTCATTTTGCGAATCTTGCGCCATTCCTTCTTTGAATGGATCAGATTGGAGCCGAGTTTGGGGCTTTAGAATTCCATTACGTGACCGCTGACTTAATGGCTCAAGATTTTTGCCACCGCCACTTGGCTGCACACAAAACCTTCGCAGCGTAAACGTAAACAAAAGCGATGGAACAATACGGAATACGCACGGAAGCAGTGGGTAAATATTTTATACACAAAATGAGGTTATCATTATGATACACCGAATACGGCAGCTGTCCGGGTCTCCCATGGTTATCTATTCGCTTCGAAAATAATGTCAATTAAGGCGGCACTACCTTCGACGGCAAGGCGTCTGACCCGCAGGTTCGATAAAATTACAAATGCAGCCGGCTATCGGGCAAAACGGCAATAACAAATAATAATGACAAAAATAATAACAACAGCCACAGCAGGTTGAAGCACTGTCATGTCTTGGGAAGGCAAACACTTGTGCTCAGAACTCTGGAATGCCACTTGCTATCAATTAAAATAAATTGTAATAACATTGCCTTTGACTTTTCCACATTTGAATTGAGTCATTCTGGGCGAATCTCCTCTTTATGCCGCATGGTGGATTTTTTATTCGGTTTAACTCTAAGATTTGAATAATAAATGTATCTCCATGTGGGTTATTTATAAGAAGTGTGCGAGAATTCCCTGCGGTTAGGGAAACTTAAAAAAGGCGTTCAAAGAATCGTTTTGAGTGGGAAAATATATTATAATTAAATATATAATCTTAAATTGCTTAACATTTTCGGAAAACGATTTTGTGTAATTTTAATCAGTTGTTGGGAAAGGTTCTAGCTTATCAGTGTCAAGTTAATTCAAAATTAATTGTCAGCTGATAGCAACATTTTTGTAGCAGACTGAACATAATTATAAACAATGTTGTTATGAGCGAATTAATTTGATAAGTGAAACGCTCAATATATTTCTAATCTATTTGGCTGACTCATCGGTTAGTACCACCACCAAGTGGAAATGTTTCGAGATATAAATTTCGCGATCCCATCGCTGTTGTTCCGGGTGCTGGGAAAAGCAGATGCCAGGCATAATACGTTCTAATCTCGGTCTTGCATAAACAAAACAAATCGCATAAACAAGCCGGCAAGTGCTGAAAGATAAACACTCCGCCCATCAATCGAATCGTTTCGATTGTGGGATCGGCAAAGTTCCTGAACACTGCTGTGCACGTGGTGATGGAGATCAATTGTGCAATCCAGCAGGTATTGCGGCACTCGGAGCGGTAAAAATAATAGCATAAATAATCACTTAGCGCGATGCTATAACCGTCTGCTATTCCTGCTATCAGCCCTTTGTGATTTCCCACCCGCGATTTGCATTCGATTAGTCGCTTACATAACCGCCAATATGCAAATTTGTATGAGTATATAGTAGTGGCTCATTCATGCAGCGATCTTGACACGAGGTTTGCACTGAGAAGACACTCGGCTTGGGCAATTGCAATTATCAGCTGTCAAAACTTCAGGAAAGGTGTCAAGTTTTCATCGGTTCTGTCAGCAGATTTGGTAATCCCTATTGACGGCTTGCACAACTTTCTGAATTGTGGACAATGCACCCGTCGCCAATAATGCCATCGTTGGCAATATTTTCCAGCTACTGCACGCGGTACTTTTACAACTTCAACGAGGTCTTATCTAAATCTTTTCCGTTTTCCGTTAAATAACTGACTTTGTATAGAATGCAAGTTGTGCCAAGCACTTCCACTTCATGTACAAGCAATAAATAATGGCGATTAATGCAATAATTGGTCCGATAGTAGACTTTTAAATGCGTAAATTCATCCAGAACAGTTGGGGTTCTGGTTACAGGTTATCCAACAACTTCCTGTAAACATGTGTATCTAAAAAGTGGAAAAACAAGTAGGCCAAAAAATAACAAAAACATATTGCGCGATTAATATATTGACTTAAAAACACAGGACGTATTTCTATATCGTCTAGACTTTCGCGAAGGGATCGCGCAAAATATTCAACCGACCCAGATAGATAAAGCTTTTGTCAAAACAGACTTTTATTTCCTCGAAGAGATAACGGCGAGAAGTCCAACAGAATACTAGACAATAGATCGCGAGACACTGGGTGACGCTCATTCATGCTTTTATAATCCATAAATAGAATTCTCCTGTCGCCCGGCCGAAGATTCAGAACCACTTGGCTCGCATTCTCCCAGCCATACTATATACATATATATACGATGAATATGCGAAGCAGCCAAGAGATATAACGAATAAAGTGGAGGCAAGGTTAGACAAAATCAAATTATGCTTTGGGCTATATTGCTGGCTCGTGATCATCTATTCCACTGATTAGAGGAATCCGAATTCAAGGCCGCCTCGACTGGAATCCGAGACTCGGATCGGATCGGATCGGATCGCGTTCGGTGCATGTGGGTTTGCCTGGTTTACTTAACTGGATGGGATTTCCATTTCCTTGGTGCACTCGCTGTGCCACCGATAAGTCGTTTGTCCGCCCTAATAGATGATAAGGAGGGTCAGCCTTTCGCACAGCCGCACCCTCACGCCCCTTGGCGCAGACACATAAATACTCTATGTGTTATGTGCACTGGGAGAAAAAGAAGGGGAAAATGGGAAGTCCATTTGGCAAGTAATTCGTTGTATAGTTTAAGAACCTCTTCATTTCATTTTAGCTCTGATAAAATTATTTAAAAGCATCTATGTTCTGATAAATGAATCATCAGCTAAGACCCAAATTTAAATGTTAATTAACAAGACCCAAAAATTCGGTGACATTTCTTTCTCTGCACTCGAAATGACTGACTTTGTTTGCACTTGTGTTTAGATTGGGGCGCGAACTTGAAGCCCCATGCAAAGCGGTGGGTATTGCATTACAAATTGTACTTTTCCACACCACCCACAAGACGAGCGCCAGCCATCCCAACCACCGAATGGAGCCTGATGCCCCACATTCTGCGGCGGTGACAATGGCATAGTGGTGACCGACCGCGCGGGTGGGGCATCTTGGCAGTGGCATTGGCTCCAGTTCCATTTCCACTGCCCCTGCCACATCCAATTTCATTCTGGCCATGTCCGTCCGCTGTGGTGACGGGTGATATCATCATCACAATTTGGCAGGGCATAATCGCTGACTAATAAAATGCAAATAAATACTCCAGTTTATTTGATCAAGACGCCCGGAGGAACGAACAACGTCGCGAAACACGGCCAAACACTTGGCCGTAAAACATTTAGCCGTCACACAGGGCGTATGCGCGATAATGGGTGGCATTGCGTAGCCGAGA